ACAAAATTTTTAGCAATTTTAATTTTTTAACCCCAACTTACAAAACCAAATTTACACACCCAAAAAAAAAAAAAAAAAAAAAAAAAAAAAAAAAAGAGAGAGAGAGAGAACGGGATTCGGCGCGGGTTGAAGAATCCAATCCCGCCCATCCATTCCGGGTTTAGATTAGACGAACCGGGACCTAGCTACCTCTAACCTGTAAGCTGTAAGCGAAACGCCAAAAGTCCAGTAAAAATGCTTACGCTTCCATGGGAACGATTCCTTTCGAACCCGGGCTTTTTTTCTTTTTTTCTTAACCTACCCCGGGTTGATCGAACGGGCTGGGATTCGTGCATTAGGTAGCGTAGCCCGTTGGGCATTGGATAGGGATTGAGCAGGCAGCTAATACACATATGTACCTAAGGTAGTAGGCATGGTCTGGTCCGGTGTAGGACTCCTGGGTATCTATATATATAGGTACCTAATATATCGTCGTAGTCTTGACCTAGTGAATCCTATTTCTATCTAGCTAGCTCGTCGGCCGACTATCTCCTTTCGCTACTGCATGTGAAGGGTCCTTGATTGCTCGTTCCTTGGTCTCTTCGACAAGGTCTGACGTTGAGATCTGGTAACGCTCTACGACGACAAATACGGCTGCCGTGGTTGCGTTTCATCGTATACAACTAGACGACTGCCTCTTGGCACTCGGATCCGGTCACGACGTATACTTACTTCCTTATAGAAGGGGTGCTTGGGAACATTTGAAATTTGGGGTAGGTGATAGATAATAGGTTCCAACTGTTTGTAACTCGCCCGGACAACGCTATGTCCATCATGGAGGACGACAACAAGTGGAAAGCCCCTAAAGCCCCGGCGCCCAGAGAGGAAGGATACACGACATCTTCCTCGCCATCGTTCCAGGAGAGAGAAAAGAGTAACGCACCGGACCCAGACGTAACGGTACTAGCGGCACCTGACGCGAAGAACTCAGACGCGGCGGAGACGACAGGCTCATTAACCTCGGGGGGCACGCTGGCGGACGGAGTTGAGAACAAGGAGTATATCACGGGGTACAAGCTCGCGCTCCTGCTGTTCAGCGTCACCACCTTTTTCTTCTTGCTCATGTTGGACATGTCAATCATCAGCACTGTGAGTTGCTATAACGATCGATGCCAGCGACTCGAAGTTGCTGATCTCCGAGGGCTAATAACTTTTCTATGCAATAGGCCGTGCCGCAAATCACGTCCGATTTTCACAGTTTGCCGGATATCGGATGGTATAGCGGCGCCTACCAGTTAGCTGGGTACGTACCTAGAGCCCTCCCTTTTTATAGAGCGACTATCTGTTCATACGATGGTTAAGGTCCGCATAACGAGTGATAATAGCTTACCTGGTTGTCCATCTAGTGCTACGCTGCAGCCCCTGACGGGAAAGCTGTATACCCGCGTCAGGGCGAAATGGGTGTTTCTGTTCTTCTTTTTCATCTTCGAAGTTGGCTCCCTCATATGCGCCGTGTCCCAGTCCTCGGTTATGTTCATCATCGGCCGGGCGGTGGCAGGTATAGGCAGTTCGGGATTGCAGAATGGTGCATTGACTGTTATCGCTGGCGCCGCGCCCTTGGATAAACAGCCGATGTATGTGGCCTTCATGATGGCTTGTAAGTATCGCCATTTATATGCGTCCCAGCTCACAGTGCCAACGGACTAAGCTAATGGCTTATTAGTTGGCCAGATTGGTCTTATTGCCGGACCGTTGATCGGAGGCGTTTTCACCCAATACGTCACTTGGAGGTGGTGTTTCTACATCAATCTTCCGCTCGGCGGTCTTGCTGGTCTGTTTTTGGCTTGCATGAACGTACCGGATCAAACCGTCAAGCCTCAAGTCTCGTTCAAGCTTCTCCGCGAGGTGATCCCGCAACTTGATCTCATCGGCTTCGCAATCTTCGCCCCCGCCGCCGTCATGTTCCTGCTAGCTTTGCAGTTCGGCTCATCCGAGTACCCCTGGAGCTCGTCGACTGTGATAGGCCTCTTCGTTGGCGCGGGCGTGACCTTCCCGATTTTCCTGTGGTGGGAGCGCCGCGAGGGCGACAAGGCTATGATTCCATTCTCGATGGCAGGCAAGCGAATTGTCTGGGTTAGCGCGATATACGGTGCTGCTTTGATGACGAGTATCTTCGTGGGCGCTCAATTCTTTCCGATCTATTTTCAATCGGTTAAGGGTGTAGGCCCAACCATGAGTGGCGTTGATATGCTTCCGAGTATCTTATCCAGCGTAGTATTAATCCTAATATCTGGGGCATTGGGTATGTCCTTATTCCCCTTTATTCTTATACCTTGTTCAGAGATAACAGGGAAAACTCTTTCAAGACCGTTGCTAATCCCTACCAAACAGTGTCCAAACTCGGATATTACATCCCATTGGGGGCATTTGCTGGAGCTGGTACGGCGGTTGCTGCTGGCATGATATCGATGTGGGGACCCGATACCTCAACAGCGTTCTGGATTGGCACTCAGATCTTGTACGGAGCTCGTGGTTGCGGCATACAGATTGGGCTGGTAGCCCTTCAGAACAACCTTCCAGCTGCGCAGAGCGCATTAGGTATCGCATTTCTGATCTTCTGCCAAAATTTCTCTGCGGCGGTCTTTTCCGTGGTTGCGAACACCATCTTCCAGCAGACGCTACGGAAGCAGATCGCGATACTCGCGCCGTCCATAGACCCGGCCTTGGCCTTGGCCGCGGGCGGCAGCGCGGAAGCGGTACGAGCCTTGGCCCCGCCGGACAGCCCGGAGCTCCGTGGAGTGCTCTTGGCCTTTTCCAAGGCCTTCGACACAACTGCTTACTTGCTGGTTGCTTGCGCTTCTCTGAGCTTCGTGTCGTCTTGGTGGATGGGTTGGGTCGACGTGAGAAAGAAGAAGCAACCCGAGAAAGGAGAAGCTTAGAGAAGCCCTAGGCAGCTTAATGAGCGGGACTATTATCTAAATAATTTATTCACTAGGTATCTAACTAGACATTAACTTCGTTCGTTAAAATTGGTAGAAATGTTTGGATATAATGGTTTGATATAGGAACGGAATAGAAGGATAGCCATTTTCAACCCAGGCACAAGTTAAAGTAGATTAGGTAGATAGAATAATAATAGCTGCTAAAGCTTCGGAGTTTAATATAGTACTTCGGCAAAGCGGAATATTCGCAGGAAAATGAATACCTATTTGACAGCATTTAGATATGACGTAAGTAGTGTATAGGTAGGTATGTGAGGGTTCAAGAAGCCAAATCGTTGGCAAACTCCATTGTATGCGAGGTTTCAATAGTTGATGAGTTAATCAGCGAATAATCTTCTTCACTCTTAACTCATCGTCAATTTGCATTTTTTAAGCGAATGGGATTAGCTCCCGTGTTGGGGTCCACTATATGAATCCTCTACTTCCAAAGTACGACCTCAATAACTAACGACAATGACATGCTAGTTGAATTGGATATTGATTTCATTCTTGCATTACTCCACGTGTAGAGTGATTAATACCTATCACACTGCACAGTTTATATAATACATACCTGACCTAATGTATACAGATGTAAGCCATGTCATAGTAGGGATAACTTAGCCCCACCTTCTCCCCTTTTCTCTTAGCTTCAGCCACGGACTCAGCCATAATTCGGCCACGTTTGGAGACCTCCTAACTAGGGGGCCGGGGGGCAGGGGGCCTTGACTTTTTTTTAACAAGCGCCTTACTTATGTGCTATATTGTACAAGTGTCAGAGGCCTAAACAACTGTTAGCCAATCATCCTCAAACATCCCCAGATCCTCCCCAATTATTTCCCATTATTTCGTTATGCCTGGTGGCTCTTCAGCCCCGTTGGCCTCTCATGGCTGAGTCTTGAGGCCTGATGTCGTGTCACTTGAATTCCCGAACCATTCTTGGCCAGATTCACTCATTATCTGCGAAGGCAAAGGGTTTGATTCTCTTGGTTCTCTTGATTCTGTTAGACTTGTCAGACTGTCAGACTGTTGGACCAACTGGTTCATAAAAGCATTGATCCAGTCCCCGACGTCTGCTTAACAATATGTTTGTCTAGTTCTCTTGTTTTATTTTCCAACGTTGCGCTCTTTGTCTAAGAAGACCCTTACCTTCATTTGAACTTAAATACGACGTACGATTTATACTAGGTGCGCTACTCAAGGTAGCAAGGTAGCTCGGGAACAATGCCATTCATTCCAAACACTCCCGAGTCCCTATTGGGTCGCTCCGACTCCAAGAATCCGGCTACAACATGTCGAGGTGTTACTTCGGGTGGTCGTCCCTGTCGACGACCATTGAATTCTTCTCCGGACTCGTCACCAGCTCCCGCTCCGCCTAAAATCAAAGGCCTACGTGCCAACGACCCCCGAAATCCCGACCTTTATTGCTGGCAGCATAAAGATCAGGCAGCCTTATCCTCGCACTCTAGTCCGGGACCAAGGACGAATATGCCATCTATTCACGAATCAGGTCGTCAAAGCTTAGAGAGTCTCGTTAACCGTCTAGGCATAGTCGACTCGTATAAGCATGGTAAAAGGCCAACACACAATCCTTACGGGGAAAAAATAACACATCCACCAACACAACCTAGGACAAAGCAATCAAGTTTCTGTTGCTGTTTCACAATCACCGAAGTAGTAGAAGAGGAGGAACTTCCACCACGGCCACAGCCTAGACCATTACAAACCGCACCTGCGAAACCCGTATCCTCTAAGCCTCATAGCCAGCATCTCGCACCTCCTTCTGCGCAGTCACGACCAAGTGGCGATTCTCTGAGGCCGCATTCCAACCATTCCGGAACCTCACAAACTTCACAATACTTATCCTTAATCCCGGCGACGGCATCACCGCAAACGGCTTCGCAGCTCATGGCAGAGCTGGCCAAACCCATCTCCCAGCAAGATGAACCCGGTTATATCTACATCTTTTGGCTGACGCCCGAATCCAAACCGGCAGCCCCTCCAGCCGAGGCCGCCAAATCCCTCCTAACGCCACCTCGTCCGGACGGACGCCAACGACGACCGAGCGACGTGATGGAGTCTTACGCTGTTAAGGGGAGCAAGACCGGATCGTCCAAGAAAATTCTCTTGAAAATTGGCAGGGCAAACAACGTCCAGCGACGCTTAAACGAATGGACGCGCCAATGTGGTTATAACATTTCGCTCATCCGGTATTATCCCTACGTTTCCTCGAGTGAGCCGACAGAGCCCCGGAAGATGCCCCACAGCCATAAAGTCGAGCGCTTAGTGCATCTCGAACTTGCGGGAGCTGGTCTTCGAGTAAGCGACAAAGCCAACTGTGAAGCATGCGGCAAAGCTCACAAAGAGTGGTTCGAGATCGATGCGAGCAGGAAAGGTATCGAAATGGTCGACGAGGTGGTCAAGCGCTGGAGCGACTGGGACGAAGCCCACCCATGATCAGTCAAACGTCCGGTTTGAGCAGCTTCGACGGTACTAAAAGATGATAAAAAAAAGATGCTGGGCCGCATCATTTTTCGGATATGACAGACACTACTGCCAGATGGGATGTATGCTTTAGGTAGGTGTAAAGAGGACCCTGGTGCATCTAACATAGTAGATGGGATGTAACCAACATTTGCCTAATACGGCAGTTCGACCGTGAGTCGTGTGCTCTGTGCAACTGCGTCCCTTACATCCCACGGGTTACTATCGCATCTTGCACCACGATGCTCTATAGGCATAGGTAATCTCCGACTCACTCTTCCGTCTCCACGCGGATCACGGAAAATATAGTCTATCGGACGGTTTGGGTCACCTCATCGCGGTCAATTTACTTTAGTTTTGAGACATGCTCTGTGGAGCCAACAGGAACATCGACATTCGTGATCTAATGCCGTTGACGCTTTGATGCAGTGATACCCGAAATTTCCATCTTTAAACATTGTGCGCCACTTATTGATATTATAGGTTAGGTTAGGCACTTACTTAAAATATGACGATTTTATGATGAGATCGATTCGGATCTCCGTTGCACGCTATGTAACGATGTTTTAAGCTTTGTCCATGCTAGCTTTCGCCCCAAGATAGTCGATATATCCTAGTGGAATGCATCTCATTTTGTGATAGCTTCGCGGTAGTTGGTCAAAGTAGGTACGTATCGCGTTATAATTCCATCTTAGCAAGACACTAATTGTTAGGTGCATAGAATATACAGAATATACAGAAGAAGCAAAAGCTTCTTTACCATTTTCTACCATACTTAGACAGGCTAGAGCTAATATTTAATAATTTGTCTCAGGAACTTTTGCTTGAGAAACATACGCCACTCACCCTTCGCCAGTATTAAGTTCAGTCGCGGAAATAAACCAACATGTGGATTCTTGATCTCGGAAGGTGTTACATCTCGGTTTTACTTGTTATCGTAAACAGAAATGCAATGCTACGCTGTACTTGACTGAATTTCAAATGGTACATACAGTACAACCTACAAGTCCAGCCGCACCTAGATCTTCCTTTGGCGTTTTCTTCCAGAAGGATTTGTACCAAGACATGCCACCGCAAGAAGCGTGTCCTGGTTATGTGACTGGTCAATTGGGAATTTCACCCGTCCCAAGCCGTTGCTGATTTTGCTTCCTAGCGCCATTTTTGCATACTATGTATCTCCTATCCCTGCCGCCAGCCTGCCTCGTGGCAATTATGTCTTTAAGTCCCTCAGTATTTCATAGATGGCCAACCTTACATTGCGTTTTTATCCCTACTAAAACGGCCTTCTGGAAAAGCATTTGTTTTGCAGCCTTAACGAGACTTCAATAATCTTATTGCGCGCGATGGCAGGTCCTTCGTCGAATGTAGGCTACGATGATGATTCTGCGGCGTCGTTCTCGTGGGAATCTAGCAGGACCATCGCAGTTGACCAAGATGTGTCGGAATTATCATGGGGAAGCGGCAGCGGGCCGTCGTTACCATCGGTTGACGATGATAGTCAGACAGTTGGTGTTCATTAAAACAGAGAGCGCATTTCCAACCTATTGACTGTTGATAGGAAACCATGTCGGTCTCATCAGGAAGCATGGGGTATGATCTGGCCGGAGACTCGAATTACCGTGAATTGAAGGATCGCTGACCACTATGAAGATCTTCAACCATGTCGCTGAATTCGAGTCTTTACCATTACGTCCATGAAAATGGCCGAACTTACCATCGATATAAAGAAGGCAGTATGGATCATTCAACTTCTCTGGAATCTTGAGTTCCCCTTATTGACAAGGCCGTTTAGGATATTTCCTACCAAATGATGCCGTATGTCTTAAGCCGCGTCCGAGGATTCGTCGTGATATCCGATAACCAATTTTCACAGGCAGAACAAGAGCGGTTAGGTAAATGCCATAATTTCTTGTTGGTTCATATTATTTTCTCTTATTCGAAGCTAATCACATCCGAGATAGATCTACAACACCAATTGTTTATATTGACTATTGGAAATAAACTTCATTTAGCTCCAATACCGGAAAACCCTCGGCGGGTCTTGGATATTGCGACAGGGACGGGTATATGGGCTATAGAATTTGGTACGATCAATTGTTACGCGTCGCCGGAGCTCGTGAAATGTGAATCGTGAATGCTAACTTACCGCGCAGCCTTCCAACATCCTGAATCTTACGTGGTCGGGACGGATCTCAGTCCGATCCAACCTGAATTGTGCGTGTATTCGGCGCCCACTATCCAGTATCGCATGTCAAGTCGATGAATAAGATAGAATGTAACCTACTGATTTCATTCACATAAGCTTACCGGAAAACTGCCAATTCGAGATCGACGACGCGGAGGACGAATGGACATTCGGCGAGAAGTTCAGCTACATCCACGGGCGGGCGCTGATGAGCTGCTTCGACGACCCGGCGGCGGTGGTGAAGCAGGGGTTCGAGCACCTGGAGCCGGGCGGGTTTATGGAGTTCCAGGACGGCCTGTTCCCGATGAACTACGTGGGGGAGCCGCCGACGGAGTCGGCGCTGTACCGGTGGAACCAGATGATGCTCGAGGGCGTGTCGCGGCTCGGGCGCTCGTGGAGCAACGCCAAGAACTACCGCCGGTACTTCGAGGAGGCCGGGTTCCAGGACGTCGTCGAGAAGCGGTTTTACTGGCCGACGAGCCCCTGGGCCAAGGGCGCGTACTACAAGACCGTCGCCACGTATTTCCAGGAGGACTTGCTTTCCGGCCTCGAGGGCATCAGTCTCAGGGTGTTGGGCGTGCTGGGCATGTCGCCCGAGCAGGTCCGGGAATTCGTCGAGGATGTGAAGAAGGATCTTAGGAGTACGAATATTCATGCGTATATAACCGTGTAAGTATACCTACCTAAACCTACCTCTCGCCCAACCCTAACTGTTCGTTGCGAGGGAAAATGCTGTATGAGCTTGGCGGCTTACGTTTTCTAGGACGTATATATATGGGCAGAAGCCGGGCAGCCCGACTTAAATGATAACAGACATTCGTGACGAAGCTTTCTTGAACAGTTGTTCCCCGCCATACTTGAAACATCTCCCCAAACTACTTCGGTAGCCTGGCAACGCGTATCGAAGTTTCCGTTTCGAAATCATTTTCTGAACTAACCTTTGGTGGCGCTTGTGACCACACTGGCTTTTATTTAAGGCGGTCCATTCAGGATATCCAGATTTGGCGGCCCGATAGATTGGATCATGTTCGTCTAGTTACTGCGAGTTGGGCAACCTTTGTGAGTTTACTTTACCCCTTTCTAGAACGCCGAATGATTTGTCACGTAAGTTATTCCTATGTTCCCTACAGCTAGGATACGAAACGCCTTACTAGAGCGAGGGAATCACAAGAAAATCAGCCTCTAATCACGGACATCATGTTCAAGGTTTGCTTAATGCTTAATGCTTAAATTGGTAATATATGCACATGAAGTAACTTGTCGACTGGCATCTAATATATATAAAGTACCTATACAAGGATCTTAACCCGAAACCATCTTCCCAAAACAACGCAACGGCTAGCTATGCGACACAAAGTAGAACGCTCGCAAAAATACTTAATAGATGATTTAAGGGAAATCCTGGCGAGCCCGGGCGACAGCGCTGATCCAGTTGCTGCCGCCGGCAAAGACTGTCTCGGTGGCGCTGGTTACGCTGAGAACACCCAGCTGTAGGGGAGCGCCGTTGACGTTTTGCCACTATGTCGCTTAGGGTTAGCATGTGTCTTGTTGCGTGTGATGTGATGGATACGGTAGGTAGGTAAAAGGGGTTTTGGGCTGGGTACGATGTTCTTCGATGAAGGGAGGAATTCAAGGGGTGAGTAAAATAGGCAGCTAAAGAAGATTCAGGGATCGCCTACGAGAGGACCGCCGCTCATGCCGCCGGCGACATCGGCATCGGTGGAGAGACCGCCGGTCGCGTCACAGTCAAACTTATTGCGGACCGTGATCTTCTCCTGCCGGTACGGCCTGTTGCCGTTCGCAAGGTCGCCGGGGTATCCGAGGTTGAGCAGCGAGGGGTTGTTGATGATGGAGGGCTCGATGAGCTTGGCGCCGAGGCCGCCGCGCTGGTCGCCCAGGCGCGAGTCGAGGATGAAGATGGCCCAGTCCTCCTTGATGTCGCAGGCGTTCGCGTCCGGGTCGTTGACCGAGTAGTCCGGCAGGTAGATGATGGTGGTGACGTACGCGCCGGGGAACGACTCGCCGTCGTAGTAGGCCGGCATGAAGCGCACGCTGACGCCCGGGTTGTTGAGGGGCGCGCAGTGCTTCGCGGTCGCGACGTGGCGCGAGCCGATCAGCGCGCCCGAGCAGTACACGCCGTTCGACCACTGGATCTTGCCCATGGCGGAGTAGGGGTACGACTTGTCCGTCCACACGACCCGGTTGTCCTGCCCGAAGACGTAGCGCTTCCCGATCTCGGCGTCGTCTACAACGTCGAGATGGGCGGGCACGTGGGCGGGCACATCGGTGGCGTTGTCTGGTTTGATGTCGTCTAGCGAGAGGGTGATGATCTCGGGGACCGGTCCGTCGAAGAGGCTCGTGGTGTGGAAATCCGGGATGCCGATGGGTTGGGTAAATCTGGTCTTGGGTTCCGGTATAGGCTTTGCGGCGGCCCCCTGGCAGAGGAGCAGGAGGGCCGTGGCTAGGGGAAGGGAAGAGCGGGACACCATTTCTGCGGGTGTTATTCAAGTTTGTGTTAATGTAGAAACGGATCGACGTTGTGATCGTCTTATATTGGTAATGGAAGACGCCATCCTTATATTTATATAGTTACTCTTAACTACGATTGAAGATATCATGGGGTGGTTATCAAGGACTCAAGGAAATCCCACGAAAGGGCTGATTCAAATAACCCACCCTGTCAACCTACCGTCAAGGAGAAAAGAAAAAAAGAGCATCTGGCATTACTTTGGGATCTTAGCCAAACCGCCAAAGTGAATCATAAGACAAGTGTGCCGCGCATGATGAAGAGACTGACTGGAGGTGGCATACGGAAGGAATTATGTTCCGAAACAAAAACCTCGAGAGTATTACAAGTTAAATAGGTGGTATGTGTATCACAAGCGCGCGGTGAAGTTTCTCGACGGGCTTGAAAAGTACCTAAAGGAAGCCACCGAAAGTAGGTCTAAGACAAGGGCTACTCGATCGCGGCGCATTGATACCGCTTCGTGTCTTTTATTATCAACCTTCCCCATCCGGGCGTATATCCCCGCATCACAGACTCTATCTTTGTAATGACTCTACTCCTCCTGACCTTGTCATTCTACCCAACTTGTTGGAAGACAAGAACGCCGAGGTTAAGAATCAGGGCAATAGTGGTTGTTGCTGTAAAATTGCAATGTCGCTTGCAACATTTACCTTGGTTGTTGATAGAGGCGATGTAGGTTATTGACGTGTTTAACAGGTACTATCTAGTCTTAGGCAGAGTTGTTAATTCTGACTATCTCTGAATAACAACATATTTGGTAATGATTTTCAAATGAGGCTCAATTTCAACTTCACTCAACTAAACCTCTATAACAGTATTAATATTATCGAAACAACTGAGTTAAACTAAATCAAATGACAAAGCCGTCGGACCAACGAAGCAGCCACATTTGAAGCGATTCTCGCGTGACAAGAGGGAAATTCCAAGATGAGAGGTAACGTGGTATATAAATGCAAGCTCTATGCCCCGAAGCAACTCGGGGACGAACAACCACATGGGAAATGCGAAGCTGTGTAGTATCTATATCAAGCAGATATATAAGACCTCATCTCACCCTCTAAGCCCACAGCTTGCGTTAGTACGAATAGAACGTCTCCTTCAATCCCAAGTGACCCCGATATGGTTTGCCATGTGCCCCACGTACGGCGCATTTATTCAAGAAGCGGGCAGAGCCGGACTTGGTCCCCGAGCCAATAGAAGAGGTCTTAGGTACGAGATGGAAATTCTACGCACCCTGGAAAGAGAGAGTGTTTTTATTTAAAGTGAAACTCCATACGCGGGTATTTTCTTGTTTTTCTTCGACACCTACATGAGAGTAACCCTATACCTATTACCTTGAAACATAAGTTGATTATCGGGGACATCTTCGGCCAATCCCTGGAGGGAAAAGGACCAGGGTGAGGCGCGATATTGTCCGATTCAACACGAACGATGTCTTACGTCTAGCGGGGCCCATCTTCGTGGGAACACACTTTCGGCCACAACACCAAATAGGATACAAGCATTGAGAAACTTGGTCACAAAACGAGTTGGTAAACACGGTGATCCTATTAGCAGGTATATAGTTTGAGGAGGAAAACGAAAAATTACGAGTTCATCCCTGCGTCGTATTGAATACGGCTAGAAAGAATATCCCGAAATACAAACAGAGCATAACAATAACCCCAACCCACTTACAGCCGAGCAATGGCTCTGGGCATCCTGGCATAGATATCCTCACGCGAAGGATGGTGCGTCTGAGAACGCACTTCGTACGATAATACACTTCTTATCATATCTACTACCAGTGTGTATTGTGGCGATCGTAAATCGGTGTGGCATCTAACTGGGCTTATAGATAGGTACCTCATACAGTACCTATCTTCTCATCTCGAGCCTGCCTCTAGTTGAGGCTCTGAAGAGGTGAAGAAGCTTAACAATTTTGGGAGGTAAAAATGAGACTTTGATCTGTTTGAATATATTGGCGAACTTAGCAAGCATCCCTATTAGCTTGGATAACCGGCTACTAGTTGGTGCCTAGAATGTTAGGTCTAACCCACATAACATCTCAAGGAGAAGCACCTGTCTCCCTCTATCTTGGACTCATGGTAATATCTATAACGGCTTTTCTCAATCCCTTGATGGCATTGCCCTGTTTTGTTACCCCTAATGAGCCTGTGAAGCATTGCGATTGAGAGCACATGTCCGTCAGTCAGCTGCCTAATCGGACTTTGAATAAGCCTCGAGAGATCTCATAGTAGGCCAGCCTCTTGACCATTAGTTGTCTACCTACCTGCTAATTCTATTCTTATCCGACCATGTAGTTAAGTGAAATACCGTGTGGTCAAGCTTAGTGATATTGACGGTTCATCTTAGGGGTAACGGTAAGCTGTCTAAGGTTAGGTAGATAGAGCCCGAAACTCCCTGGGGGGACGTTACTAGTAACCCTGGAAAGTGGTCCTACCTTCGGAGCGACAAGTGACTAGCTGGTGTAATGTTAGGGATATGTATGTTGTATAATTTAACCCACTACACACCACGTACGATCCTAACACCCTGTATATGGAGCTCCTTGACACGTAAATCTTGATGTCTATTCTTACTCAACCGTCAAAGGACCCTGGGTTCTTACATTTTAGAAGCAGGTAACTCACCGTTAACTGGTAATGAGCTTCATACAGGCCAGCTAGGACTCCTATTATATCACCCTCCTATCGTGGCACTTGCTTTCCGATAAGAACTATTAGGTGCTGGCTCATAGGCAACTATGATTCAAGGGAAAATGCACAAAAGAAACACTAGGTGAGGCAATGAGCAGTAGTCTACGCAGGGGGTGTGGCTGTATCCAGCAACATCCGATGGTATAGTAGCGCTCTCTTGAACCCACTAGATCTTATAAATGGCATTATATTCGTGAGACATTAACTACCTGTCATCGTAACTGGTCATCGCTAACTATGGAAGACTGCGTAGCAGGCATTAGACGCGTTAGAGCGCCCTCCCCTTAATATTTGCCCATCTTCATCTTCATACCCAACTTGAGCAGCGTCAACGCGCTTGACCCAAAGACGCCTCGACCCACAGACGACAACGATCTCTTCATATTCGCTCCTTTATCGTTACGTGTCGAATTCCAGTGGCTCAAGACTTCTTGGATAAGGGTTGAGTTACCGAACACATCGTCGAGTATGTCGGGTATGCTAACTTGGCTGCCGTTCGTGAAGCTGCCGATAAGGTCGCCCATCAGCTTGGTTACCGGGATTGTGGACGTCACGCGCCTGTGATTGAGAACTGCCTCGATGAATCTAATGTGTTGGCCGTTGACGACGGTCGCGTTGCCCGTCGCATCGATCTGGATGTTCCCGTCGTTCAGCGGGCCAGACTGGGTGGAAAGTACCGTCCCAAGGTTTTGCATGAGCACATCTAGGTAAAGCTCGCCGTTGAAATACCTGGAATTGTTTCCTGGAGGGAGGAGAACCTCGTAAACGGTAACCAGCCCAATTCTGACATCGCCGGCCATCAGGTTGAGCGATAGGTTGCCGATACCGAGAGTAAGCGCACCCCAGTTCGGCAAGTTCAGAGAGCCTTGAATGTTGGTTCCGTTTTCCAGGGCTGGATACAGAAGCTGCATATGTTCAATCGCAAACCCATCCAGCTTGTTTAGGGAGTTAACCTCGACGGTCTTGTCGATATGCCCGTCTGAATGGAGAGCCCCTAGGTGGATCTTGGCATCACCGCGAGTAGATAAGGTGACCTTCGGCTGATCAAATACGTTACTAAACCAAGAGACAAGCTCGGTCTCGTTGGTTATCGTGACGGTCTGATCGGTAACAACTATTTCCGTTTCTCCATCCACGTGTAGGGGTGGCAGAGTAATGTTACAAAAAGGGTTATCGGGCCTCTCGTGATTATACATGAATAGAGTTACTGGATCTATATCTGCTGGTAGAGGCGTATCGAGAGACGTGGTGATAGATATATTGAGCTTTTCCGGCGTTATAGCTATGAATGCCCCTCCAGTCACGGGCATTGTCTGGTTATTCAATATGCGCTGCACGATAGCTGGGATAATTACCAGAAACCTGAGTCCTATTATTAGCAGACCGATACGCTCTCCCGGTTGGCACGGTACCTACAGGATTGGTAGGAATATGGCGAGGAAAATAACAAATCCTATGAGATACCACCACCAGAAGCGCCCACAGTGACGCTTGAACTTCTGCTTCTTCGTAAGAGGCGCGGCCACTGGAGTCTTCTCCGTAACATGATCGTCCGAAGAGCTCTCACCACTCTGACTGCCAGGGACATTCGCTGTCTGATCGCCAGCTTCACCTCTACCGCCATGTACAGAGGCGGTAGGGCTGGTAGGCTCATAATGTGAGGTGTCTTCACGAAAGGCCGACGCCATGATGGTCTTGTCATTAGCAGCAGAGGATGCTGGATGGATGACAAAGGGAGAGAAGACGGTCACCCAATAACTTTAGAGTCGGAAACGAAGGCGAGGGACTGAACTTAGGACAATTCAGACATCAGATTTGTGCCCACTGCCCAGCCCGCCCCGGGTTACATTGCGGCATTACGAACAGACGAGCTCCCGCTCCGTCCTACCACGCCTATCGGGCCTGAGCTAGACAGCCAGACCCATCGAGCACCACCTTGCATCTTGTTACCCCTCGCGCCTTGTTGATCTCTCCATTCTCCACACAGCACTTCTGCCGTTCGTGTTGGCCACCCTGGTTTCTGTTGCTCAATAATACAGGGGTATTTGGTCAGCTCTGATCCATTCCTGGGGTGGCTACTGGTTTGGAACGGGTCACGCACATAATATTCAAGAACATAACATAACATGGCAAAACCTGAGGAGCGGGGTATCAGGCTTAGTCTATCCCAGCAATTAATTGCTCTTCAGTAGATCTTCATTTACACCGCAAGCAGCACAAACCGCCGCATTCAAATGATGTCATGCTGTAACCCGCCTGCCTAATGAGGAAATAGAGTTGATGTCCACTATTCCCACTTCGAGTGTGCTATCCGAGAGTATGTTGGTGTTGCTAGTTGGGCATCCGTCTTGCGAATAGGTTTGGCATCACCCTTATTTTGATCTAGAGAGTGGCATTATACTTTTTGAAACTAGTCGTTGTTGAAGATACTTGATGTTATGTCTGCTCACGAAAGAAATATTGGTGGTAATTTCTCCATGTTGATCTCCAAAAATATGTTGGATGCAGAACCTTTGACGGGGGCCAGTTTTTGTTTTTTTCTATTTCTCTTTTGGAGAATAAGTGCGGGAGAACAGAAAGTGACGGTGAGAACCGCGTGTTTACACATGCGATCTAATAAGTGCCTAGGTAACTGTTAGATTTGTGGTGTCTTTCATGTAAGTGAGGTTACTGTGAACATACATAATGCATACAATTGCAACCATAACCCTACCTCAATGCCAAGTTGTCGAATGGGCATCTAGAAAAGCTTGACTGCCTGGGTCCACAAATCCAGGGGCCCCTAGTCCTATGTAACCCACGCCAGGTAAGGATTAGGATCGTGGAGAAGTTGGGGTAGCTAGGGTGAGCTAGCGACAACTAGGCCTGGAAAACTAATTACCCGTGTGAGCAGCTTGGTAAATATCCCAAGACGGAATAATGTCCGAAGGGAGGTCTCCATCACTCATTGGGGAGTAAGTTCATGTGATATGAGAAGAGCAGCAGGTAATATTGTTCATATTCTCGAACTTCCCGTCTCGTCTGCCATGCTTCCTATTCTGCGGTTGAGCTGAATCGGGGCCCTAGCTTCGAGCCAAAGAGAAGAGGACGACATCTCCGAAGCCTTCAACAGCTAGCCAGTTATTATCATGTTGTTCTTCAAGCTCTTCCTGGCGGCTCTGGCGCCTGTCAGCCTCGTCGCCGAAAGCGCATCGCAAGCACCAGATTTAGATCTTGACGCACTTCTTGCTAAGCATAACTTAGCCCTAGTTCCTCGGTCGGACCTAACCGATGCCTTGACAGAGCTTAATGGCTTGCTCAGGAGGAACCAGGTTCAGCAACAGAAAGTTGCACTATATCCACGACAAAAGACGAATAGCACACGTCCCGGCTCTGGCTCTGGTTCCAGCTCTAGTTCAGGTTCTGGGTTAAGCGGCGGCCTTGACCTCGGTGACCTTGGTGGCCTTGGAGATCTAGGCCAAATTCTCGAGAGCTTGACAAAACTCATCACACAATTGGGTGATCTTGGAGGTTATCTCTCGGCTATCCAACAGCTGCTGAGCGATGAGTTCTTGCAAGCCTTACATGATGCTATGGTGTACCTTGCACAGACTCTTCGTCCGCCGATTCCAAACATTGCCAGGAATGTCCTCACCAAGGCTGAACCGCTGATCAATCTGCTTAGTTCCCTAGACCTAGAGGGAATCGTAGACGAGATCAAGGGTATCGACCTGAAGGGTATACTCAACGCGCTACAGCCCCTTCTAGCCCCGGAATCTATCAAGGGTATTGTCAGCCTGTTGAGTAATGCAGAAAAACTTTTGACCTCGGAAACCGTTGAGGCTCTTAAGTCAATACTATCAAGTGTACAGCCACTCATTGACCATCTCTCAAAGATCGACCTTGAGGGCATACTTGATGCATTATCCCCCCTTCTCACGTCGGATTCGGTCAAGGGTATTGTAAACCTGTTACACAACGCTGGAGATCTTTTGACATCGGAAACTGTCGAAGCGCTAAAGTCGCTACTTTCCAGCGCCCAACCGCTCCTCGACAGCCTCAAGGATATCGATCTTCAAGGACTACTTGACGCCATATCTCCTCTTCTGACGGCGGATTCCGTTAAGGGCATAGTTGGCCTGCTTGGCAATGCCGAGTCTCTCCTAACTAAGGAATTTGTCGACCAAACCAAATCCTTAATTTCCGGGGCAGGGCCGCTCCTCGACGGCTTGAAGCAAATCGACCTGAAAAGTTTGATAGATCAGATTTCGCCAATTCTCAACGAGCTCGGTCAACTCGACCTAAAGGGCTTGTTCGAAGCTATCAGCCCACTGCTGACGCCAGACTCTATCAAAGGTATTACAGGGTTACTTGGTAACGCGGAGGACTTGCTAACTGGCGAATTCGTCGACCAAACCAAATCCCTAATTGCGGGAGCAGGACCTTTGCTCTCAAGCTTAGGTGATATCGATTTGAAGGGTCTACTCAGCCAGATCTCGCCTTTACTCGACAGTCTAAGCAAGATCGATCTTCAAGGTCTGCTTTCGGCTGTCGAGCCCTTGTTAACACCCGACTCGGTGAAGGGTATCGTCGGGCTCTTGGGCAACGCTGAGGACTTATTGACGACACAATTCGTTGACCAAACGAAGACGTTGATATCCGGCGCTGTCCCATTAATATCTGCTGTCGGCAAGCTTGACTTAGAGGGGCTCATCGAGCAAGTGAAGCCGCTTTTGGATTCCTTGAGCCAGATCGACTTAGGTAGCCTTGTCAAGAAGATCCAACCTATTCTCGACGCTATAGGCCAGATCGACATCGCAGGACTGGTTAAGCAAATCTCGCCAATTCTGAACTCCCTCGGGCAGATTGATCTATCTGGCATCATAGACAAGATACAGCCGATCCTCGACGCTGTAGGTCAAATTGACTTCGCGGGTTTGATTCGCAAGATCACACCGCTCCTAGATTCCCTAGGTCAGATTGATTTATCCGGCATCATAGATAAAGTAAAACCGATCCTCGATGCCGTGGGTCAAATCGACTTCGCGGGTTTAATTCAAAAGGTTACGCCGCTCCTAGATTCCCTTGGACGGATTGATCTATCTAGCCTCATAGATAAAGTACAGCCGATCCTCGATGCTGTTGGCCAGATTGATTTCGCGGGTCTGATCAAACAGATCACCCCGATTTTGAATTCACTGGGTCAGATCGACTTAGAAGGGCTTATCGAAAAAATACAACCTATCTTGGACTCCCTCGGTCAGATCGATTTCGCAGGGTTGATCAAGCAAATAGCCCCTATCATAACGGCTGTGGGTGAGATCGACATAAAGGGTGTGTTCGATGCCGTTTCCCCATTACTCACACCGTCCTCCGTACACGGGCTCGTAGGTCTGGTCGACAACGCTGAGTCTCTACTGACGAAGGAATTCGTGAACGAAACTCATACCATTATTGACGGCGCAGCACCGCTAATTGGAGCCCTGGGAGGAATCGATATTGGCGGCCTCCTAGACCAAGTAAAGCCGCTTCTCAGCTCGCTAAGCCAAATCGATTTGGGTAGTCTCATCAAGGCGGTTAAGCCTCTTCTCGGAACGCTGAGCCAGATTGATATCCAAGGAATCGTCGAGCAGATAACGCCTTTAATCACACCGACCTCTGTGAAGGGGATCATGACGTTGCTTGGAAATGCGGAGAGCTTATTGACAGCTGCATTTGTGTCGCAAACGAGCGAGTTAATAAGCGATGCTACGCCCGTAAGTTGTTGTCCTTTTCCTCTTCCTATTTTCCACGGTCGCTTTTTCTCGAGGTAATTCTTACTGATGGCATAATTTTCAATACAGATCGTAGCGACATTATCGGATTTTATTAACGCTGTTCTACATGCGTTACTTGGAAATTCATGATCGGTCATGATCAGAATTGAGAATGTGGAGCGTGAAGAAATGAGATGCGACGAATAATGTTACTAGTAAAGTTAATGAATAATTATGAATAATGAGATAAAATAATGAGCTGCCGTGCATAATTATTAGTCCCTCAGCTGATTGACCATCTTCTTAATATTGTTACCCTGCAGGGTGGCTATATTATTATCTCACAGCTCCTAGCCGCAATACCCAACATCACTATGCTGGCGGACGGCTTTAGGATACTTAACAGCCCCTAGCCCTTACTTATTCGCACCAATACAAAAGGTACATTTTTCCTAGCACCTTTACCTTAGGTACCTGGTACCTAGGTATATTTCCCATCCATTCAAGAATGTAAAATACGAAAATTATATTGCCCGTTTCGCCTCAATTAGACCTTCTTAATGGTATAAAAGGTATCAATTGAACGCATACTCTATTTGAATAGGTACTTGTCTTTGGAATATACCTATTCACAATTCAAGGCCTTAGAACTCTGTACTTAGTCCAGTTACCACTTTCCAAGGTTCAAATACTCCATGGTTATATACGATACTCAGAGTTTGCAGTTTTCACAAGTTAAAGGCTCATATAAGGCAGATATCTGTAGTTCCTTCTTGTATGGGTAGTTCAGTTCCAAGCCAAACGTGAAACGTGAGTTGTAACTTCTCATTTTCATTGTTTTGAACAAACCTTCGTATACCCAGACAGCGGCTTTGGTTGTATTATTTCTGAGCCCGAGGACCATCAGAGCACTCTAATTATTTCTTCCTCGTCTTCCTGGTCTCATTCTCTTTTTCTTCTACAAGCTCATCATTCCGAAGTTTTCACAAATTATCATGAGGTAAGCATATAAACAACCTAGCGTACCTGTTTTTATCATGCTCTATCCATGTTCTTCCAGTGCAATAACCCATGGCAGTTCAAGCAACTCCATCTAGCCTACACCCTGACAGACGTATCCTATTCCTATGAACCCAGTACGTCTTCCCATACCGCCTATTACGTCGTAGAGTATACGAAATCAGATTGTAATAAACGTTTCACTAACATGGTTGATACTCAAAAGCGCCGTCTAAGGGGGTGTCGGTAGCAAGATCGCTTTATCCGAGGCTTATTAATTCGGGTTACCGAGTTGGAGCAAGTCTGTTTAGCTTTTTTTTCTTCTTCTTCCAACATTCTATCAAGGAGGTAATTAATTATTATACAGGTCGCCGCCTCCAACAACCAACAGGCGCTACCATCGCTTCCGGTAACCAGTAAGCTATCACTACTGCTTCCAACAACGGGCTAGCTGCTGTTGGTGCTCCCGAGAACGGACTGGTACAGATAAGTGAATGGAAAGTCAGTAGCTTCGACATTTTAGGCGAAGATCCTAGAGAAAGCTCCGGCGTATGTGGGAGCGTATAACTCTGGACCTCTTAGCCACGCCACTGAACGGCCGCCTAGCCTGTAGCTGCTAGGCTAGCTAGAGATGTGGTTAGAGACGCGGGCATTGCGATATGTATTTTCGAAAAAATCCTGATACGGTCGAGTTAGGTAAGATAACTATATCCCGAACAAGTTCGGCCATATATAAAAGTTTTAGTGGCTTTAGTAGTTGTATTTAATGGTATTAAGAAGATGTCCGGATCTTAAATCCGCTATCTCCAGGTTCGTTGAGTGAAGTTTATATATATATATACCTCCAAAGCTAGTTCAACTAATCTAAACAACCTCATTTTCAAGTTGCCATTTTGACACGCACTTACCTGGGTAACTTACGTTTAATTTTCTATCAAACTTTGGTACATGTTACTATAGTTACCTCCTAAGGCACACATTTCAGACTAGACCTTCACAATGTCGTATTCCAAGTGCTGCATTAAAGGCTTTCAATGGGACGGAACCCCGACCGGGACGGTCGGAAAGATCGCCGACCTCGACACCTACATCGCAGGCAACAACCCGGACGCTGCCGTGCTCATCGTACACGACCTCTTCGGCTGGACGTTCCCCAACTTGCGCCTGCTAGCGGACCACTTCGCGCGCGAGATTAACGCCACAGTTTACCTGCCCGACTTTTTCGGCGGCGAGGTCGTCGAGCCGACCCCCGCCGTCCTCTCCGGGGACTTCAGCGGGTTCGACTTCGCGGGGTTCATAACGCGCAACGCGCGCGAGGTGCGCGAACCCGAGATATTCGCGGCGGCGCGGGCCCTGCGCCAGAAGCACGGCAAGGTCGGCGCGATCGGATACTGCTTCGGCGGGTGGGCGGTGTTCCGGCTCGGGGCCCGGGAGCACAGCCCGCCGCTCGTCGACTGCATCTCGACGGGCCACCCGTCGCTGCTGACGAAGAAGGACATCGAGGAGGTCGCCGTCCCCGTGCAGCTGCTCGCGCCCGAGCACGACCCCGTGTACACCGCGGAGCTGAAGAGCTTCACGTTCGAGACGGTGACCAAGCTGGGCGTCGAGTTCGACTACCGCCACTACCCGGGCGTCGCGCACGCCGCCCTGGTTCGCGGCAGCGATAAGAATCCCGGCGAGGCGTTGGCTATGGCGAGGGCGAAGAACGATGCTGTTAACTGGTTCAACCAGTTTTTGCACGAGCCGTAATGGGGACCTCGGTGTTTGGAAAGGGTTATCGAAACCAAGATGCAGCTGACGAGCAACGGAGCCAGGTAGGCGAGAAAGAACACTTTTTGTTGGCACCAGAGGTATCATGGTCTGTGATTGTGATATGTCATGTTGTTTGTATTCTACCAGTCAAAGAGACAAGCTTTAGATACCAAGTTTCAAGCGTCAATTAGAGGCTATTCTAACCGTTATCCCATATTCGAAGAGGAAAAGAAATGACATCTTATGAAGCTTTGTGAATGTTGGAAAATACTTCAAAATACTTCAAAATTCTCTTTACTCGGAAGTACTTTGGATCATGTCCTTACCTACCTGTTTTGCCCGTTTTCTTAGTTAAAGCGCAGCACCCCTTGTAGGATGAGTGTAAGGTACCTGGTAGGTGAAAGAATTTTTTCTATTGTCTTTTTTTTTTTTTTTTTTTTTTTTTTTTTTTTTTTTTTTACAATCACTTATGGTCAATATTTCATCGAAGTTCGGAACTGGTAAAATTCAAACGCTCTCATATTCAATCAAATTCTCATGTACGCTATATCATAAATAACCCGGGTCGAAAATATCCCTACCCGACATTACTCAAACTGCTCCTCCTCGTAAAAGGTGTTCCTCAGGGGAAGGTCAGAGTCGAATCCCTTCGACTCCTTCATATGGCGGTCGAAGCTCAGTGTCGACATCTGCACCTTATCGAACAAGCTGCGGTCCAGTACCGGCGCCATGGGGGGCTGTTGGCCGTTCGCCCGCGCGGCTTCGACAGCGATGGTGTAGTTGTGGTGCGCGAGGCTGGACGCGATCTGGAAAGCATTGCGGATCTGACGACCGTTCCAGCAGCCGGTAGATCGGGCGTTGCTCTCGTAGTGCCTTCCGGCAAAATCGATGATCTCGCGGTCCTTGATCACGAGCTGCGGCTCTCCCGTCATAGCGTGTCGTTGCAACTCGATCTCCCGGAGCTTGGCAAGGTTTAAGCGAAAGATTTCCACAGTTTGGGTTTTGTCGAGGGGTGGATAATAAAGCGACATGTGTATACGCGACTTAAAAGCTTCGTCGATGGTGTTTACTCGGTTTGTGGTGAGGAATAATAAACCGTTGTAGTATTCGAGCACACGTAGAAACACAGAGACCAACGCATTGCGCTTCATGTCGACCTTGGAGCGTTGCGATAGGAATACGTCGGCCTCGTCTAGTAGGAGAACACAATCCCACAGATTCGCGAGGCGGAAGACGTTCGTCAGCGAATACTCAACTTCTGACGGAGTAAGACCTAAGTCGCCACAAGTGATAACGAACAGGGGCTTTCGATACTCCATTGCGACAGCTTCGGCCGTCGCTGTTTTACCTACTCCAGGAACACCATGTAGTAAGACAACCAGGCCGCGACCCTTGTTCTGGATCAGGTCCTGGCTCGGTCCTTCAGTCGACATATCGACGTATCGCCTCTCGAGGGCCTTCTTCTGGAAATGTGAAGCGACGAGACCTCGCACGATTTCCTTGTAGTCCTTCAAGATCTTAAGGTTCTCGAATACGCCTGGCTCCCTTCGGATAGGCTTCAGGAAGTGAATGTTGACAGGTACGAATTTGCGCTCGCGTAGTGCGTATGCGAACATACGCTTGGGGAGAAGGACGAGGTCCTCCTCGCGTAGTTCCAGAGCCTCTGGGTTCGTCTCGTGAACACGGCTGCCCTTCGTTCTCTGGCGTAAGAACATGTCCACGTTGAGGTTCTCACGGCGCTGCCATAACTCGACACCATCCACTTTTTGCACGAGCTCGGCCTGAGAGTAGGAGCGAATGGATCGCGAAGTGTCCATCCACTGTTGGATGCCGAATGAGTCATCCTCAGTTTCGGTGGAAATTGTTTTGTTTACAGTTAGTCGGTGAAAATAAGGACGCCAACCGCCATGCTTCTGGTATGCTTCCTGCAGGTCAACGATGACGTCGCTCTCAACGAATTCGGGATGGCGCATCTTCTCGTAGTTTTCCTTCTCTAAGATCTCCTCGTTTGGTTCCTCGGTGTCGAAAGGAGGGTTCCTCGTCAAAGTCCAGGCATGATATGATTGATGCCTGTCGACAAGGAGCCTCTGGAAATCCCGGCCCTGCTTCGTGAGCGACTCCAGGAGCTGTTGGTGGTCCTGTCGGTAGCGGATAGGAAATACTTCCAGAGACTCGATGAGCCTTTCGCCAACAAACGGCTCTATACGGAAGGTGTGGCGCACAGCGCCAAAAGAATCTCCATCGTGGTCAATATAGTAGGCGTAGATTTTGAACTGATCCTTCTTCTCATCCGCCAGCTCGTCAGGGAAGAAGCCCCCCCATTCTACTTTGCTTGGGTACTCTACTTCGACTTCTGCCATTTTAACTTTATATATTCTCCATACTTCGTGATACCGGCCTGATGTCTCTCCGGCTGAAGGCATATAAATAATTTCTCCGGGTCTGAAGACTGACCACAGGTCATCAAATTTAACCTTATCCGCTGCCTTATTAGAGTAACGGTCGTGTAAAGGCATGACCTCCTTGTCGATGAAGTTAACATAACATCGCATGTCCCTGAGAGCCTCGGGGCTATCCATAATGGTGTCCAGGTCTTCGGCGTTCGAGTCAACCGAATGGAGACTCTCGTTGTCATCATCATCATCATCGTCGTCGTCGTCTTGGTCTTCCTCGCCATCATTACCACCCTTAACGTCACTCTTAACCCGGTCCTTTGATTTCGACTTCAGGCTTTCCATGTCAGGGATCTCCGGGAGATCTACAGACTGAATATCTTCGATATCCTCATAATCAGCCCACTTCTCTTCGAGAGTAGCGAGAATCTCTTTCATCTTAGGCTGGAAGTACACCAGGGCCTTGAAGGGCCTAATGAAAGTGCGAGGTGTGGATTTCTGCTCGGTATCCTTCAGGAGCGAAGTGAGATGACCTAGGATGGGCTGGGATTGAATGCGAATTCGCTGCATCTCGCCCTCGGCCGTCTGGGCGCCCTCGGCCTTCTTTTCTCTCTTTGACTTTTCCGAGGCGGCATTCTTAGATCGCGAATCAAATACTTGCTCACGGGGAAGGCCGTAAGCAAGTAACATATGCTGGCGAGTACGAGCATGGTCCTCCTTTCGCCGGAGAGCCAGCTCGCGGCGTACCTGGGCTTGCAGGTTAGATCCAGCCACGAGGACTTCGACGGCGTAGTCGGGCTCGTCAGGATCGTGGAATCTGTTTTTGAAGTTCTCGAAGTTAACCTTGCGTACTTCGGGTATCTTAGGTCGCCATTTAGCTTCGACACGGCGACGATCGGCCAAGATCTGTTCGCGGCGCTCGACTTCCTTCTGCACAGCTAAGAAAGTTCCATCATTTTCGCGGATGTGTCGTGAACGTGGCTTGAAGCCCTTAGTCTTGAGATCCTTGTTGGGAGCCATCGTGACTGTCTAAGCAGGGCTCGTCGTGAAATATCCAAGTATTCTAGTTGGGCGTCGCGAGAAAGTTAAAAAAGAAGTAATAGCTACGGTATGACAATACTCAGAGGACGAAGGAAGGAATATATATAGGCACTACAGAAGAATAAAGATGGACCCTATGGTTATCGACACGATAGCTGCCTGGTCTTAGCTTGTCGGTCAAGTCTCACCAGGTGCATATCGCCTATATCGTTTCCCCATTTTAAGTTGCTCCCCCTTGCCTTTTTCCGTCATCATTGGATGGTCCATTTGCAGATACATGGGCAGCCTGCATCACAAAGATGACGATTAGTGGACTTCAAGGCAGAGAAAGCCTATTGATGTTCTCTGCTTAGCTGCCGGAGGGCTGAGTCACTCGGACAGGAAGCGGGCTAGGATGACTTGAGGTGGGCTTTCATCTAATCGGGAAACTCCGTTAGGATAAGCATTTTATTTTGAAGGATGAAGACCAAGTCCTGCATATCAGCATGAGGCAGCCCAGGCAGCAGGCAGCCAACAGTATGGCGGAGCATTTTGGGGTAGCTACCGCCTACCTCTGTGGGTAGGATGTACCTAATCTAAAACGCATTAGAAGGAATGGAGGCTAAGGCTGTGGCAACGCTCTTAGCGATGCTGATCGAAGCCTAGCAACGATACGATGTGTGAGGTCAAAAGAAAGCCGCCGACGACGGACAGAGTCAGCAAATCAATTCCCACTAAAGCCGGAATGGTACTTTGGAAATTATAAAAGTCGAGAATGTCTACCTGTTATCACATCGATGTTTGTAGGTCACATATCATGTTGTTGGGGCTAAAGACGATAAAAACGAGAAAATGAGGAGAAAATGGAAAATGGAAAGCATGATTGATTTAGGTACCTGGGTACCAAATTACCTAGCTTGGATCTCGGGCCCGAGCCGAGCCATTTGGCTTGACACATATAAAAGCCCCACTTACCTGCGCCACAAACGGCCACATACCTGGAAAGGGGTTTCAATGCCTTCATTTTCGTATAAATACCCCCTATATATACACGACGGCTCTTCCATTTAAACTTCTCTGGAAGTCGATGGTAGTAATCCAAGGTAGCTCTCCAATCTTAGGAGTCAACAAGTTCCAAGGCTTGAGAGTCGAGCAGTCTAACCACAACTTTATAGGTTCACTTCTTCAAATGCTTTAGACCTTTCATTTCCACCGCTTCCCTCCGCACTACATTTCCGTATTACTTCTATAGTATTGCCAACCCGAGATCAGCTCTATAGAGGTACCTGCCTACCTTGGATAGATGAAATTTCACAGACTAATTAGAAACTAACTGCTAGGTGTATGTATGAATGGGAGGTTCAGAATACAAGGTTGCAGCTCTAGTTATCAGCTATAAAATCTAAGTTAGATTCATGTGTTACTCATGTCACAGCACTTGCGAGTGTTTTAGAGAGTAAATTCATAATATCACGGTACCGCCCCGCCTGTGTACCTGCTGTGGCTGGATGATTACAATGGAGTGGTAATGGTAAGTGTTTAAGGGGTAATGATAATTGATTGAGAGGTAAAATTCTAGTTAAATAAATGTTAGATGTACCCGAAGCTACGCGATATCTTTCATGTGCCTGCCTTAGGTACCAGGTAGATATATCATGATTCGAAAAGGGGGAGATTCGCCCCTTAGACGTCCCCTACTCCTTCAGGAATTACTCATCCAGCTAAGAACCCGTTTTTCCCCTTGGCTGTCCAATGGCTTAATTTTTATTATTTTTCTTTTTCTCAGCACTCTTCTCCAGTTTGTCGTCGATGAGGTCCTTTAGATCTTCAGCCTCATCCAACCATTTAGTACAATTATCATAACGCTCGGAACCGACTGACGACGAATCCTTGATATCGTTTAAGATGCCTTCATTCTTCTCAATCATCTCAAGGGTTTTGACGAGCGTGTCCGTTTCGACGTCGCTTAAAATGCCGTCAGTGCCCATGTCGTACATCACGGTGTGTCTTATGCTAGAGAGCTCGGCGCGAATTTCGGCTTCCATGGCGAAAAAGGAGAATGCTGGGCTGGTACAAATAAAGACGTTGCTTGATTGTTAAGGTGATCTATGTGCTTTGTGTGGTACGTATGTAGAACCGTTGGTTGGAGAGGAAGTTTAGGGGGAAAACGAGATATTTCTGGTGCTTAGGCATACGATATTTATATTTTCCCCGGGGAGCACTGTAACAGCTCGGGAATGAGTTTGAACTCAATATGATGATTGTACAATAGTGAATGCTTAGGTATGACATGTCAGTCAATTGTCCAACCATTGACAAACTAACTTATTGAACCTGTTATGAATTAGGTCCTCGCCTACAGATATGTCGTGATATTAACTACCTTCTACGACTACTTGTAACATTATATTACAGTTGGCCTCAACTCACTGATACACCTTGATTGCGTGCTTGTTCACTTTACACGCCTATTGTTACACTTCAATATATTTCGATACCTAATACGCCAAATAATGATATCAGATAATTAGGACGAATATCTTATGTAAACTGAGATTTACAGACTGCCTGTAGCGATCTTCTATTAAGACTTCAGATAATACCCGTTTACGTTAGACTAAAGAAGTGGGATTTTTACGAGATTAAAAACCTTTGTAGGCCAAAAAGTAGTAGCAGTTACAATAGGTACCCATTAAGGTTAAGGATCGTATTAGTGCCTTTTTCTCAATCAGGGACTCTAGATTTTGATAGGTATTCCTAAGGAATATATACTTGAGGCAATAACCTAGATCTATTTATTAACCTCATTTTTATCTTTCATGGTTGGTAATCAAACAAGAGTGATTCTAGCCCCCAATAAACATGTCACCGTACTGTTTGTGAGGTAGTAGTCCTTCTAGGTGGAGATAGCAACGTCAACCCCTCGAGCTGATATCGTTCTACCTTTAGGTAGTGCAGCGGTTTAATAGCTACCTAGATCTACCAAACCCTTGCAAAACATCAAGTAGTATGATATAAATCCACTTGTCAGGTATGCTTGGTGATGGGGTCATACAGGGGTGAGTGTCAGGGCATAGTATGCAATCTATTGTAGAGATACAGTAACGCCTAAGTACCTAGGTAGCCTTCTAACCTCCCTCGAGGGAGCTGGTTATCCTTTATATGGACAGTAGAATCCCATACCAGCCAATATCACTGTCATATCCACATATCCCGACACTAGTCAAAGCTTAATAGCTCAAGCACCTCTTGCTCATCGTAAAATTTCATCCGCCTACACTTCACGACCATGCCTTCTATGAATCTCGACCAGCGTAAGAACGCCAACGGTCACAGAGGTACCGGATTCAGTTAAACTTGCGAGTTGGAATCCATTCGATGGTGCGTCGGTATTCCGAGACAAATCTCGAGGCTGGCCTAGAAGTAACAACCATGTCAAATCAGCAAGGTAGCGAGCTAGGTACATTGGGAAGTTCCTGCATGGAAAATAGAAGAATTGACATACACCCTCTATTTCGGCGTTGAAATTTACGCCTCCACTCCAACACTGCTAAGAGAGCCGCGGGGAGCCCAAGAAGAAGGCTTGCTAGAGCAACTATAGCCTGGAAAGTCAAGCTTGCCATCTCCAGTTAGGTACCTGCTAGCACGGAGCAGGAGAAAGCTTATATAAATGGCAGTTTCGGTATAGTCAAATAAAGTCTGAAGTCCTGACAGGCACTTGAAGGATAGAAGAGAAGTAGAAAAGAAACCCGAAACTCTCTAAAAGCCATACCCAGATTTCTCTCTCTTATAACATAGGAGGTACCTAAGTTACCGCTGAGATTGAATGTGCCCTGGTTATTCATTGAGGCTTATGTGTGCTTGCATATTGCTCGCGTATTACTTGGGAAGTCTGGGTGTGTTGCATTACGATATTGTCTTCAACCAATTAAAGGTGATTTCCGATACTGGATTTGACCTATGAGATTCTGCAACCAGGCTCTGGAGAAACCGTCTTTTCTGATATTGGAACTACCCAATATAGTTCATTTGTTCAAATTGATGCCCAAGTACGTATTTTGGTATTGGTATTGTCCAGCCGGATTGCAGACTTTATCTGCAGTAATACCTACCTCCATTTGTAGCTGATAATGTCAGACACCCAAGTTCATACTGTAGAGCCAGGCAAAGAGTTACACAAGAAGGAGCATATAAGGCTGCCCCCCATCCCTTAGCTACTCGTAAATTTTGAGTTCTCTATTTGTTCCTTTCTTCTACCCACATACCTACCTACTATTTAAGCCAACACCATGGCCCCGACACGCAAGACTGAAGCCGACTGGCTACCCTACAAATCCTATATTACCAACTTAGTGAGAGATGAGCAGTGTAATAACGCCGATGTACTCGAGCGGCTACAGTCTCAGGGCTTCCACGCAAGGTATTATTTCGCTTTGAGTAGCACCATGATTGAATGAATGTCTAGTCTAACATGTTGTAGCAAGAGCCAGCTTGAATACCAGCTGAAAAATTGGAATTTGAGACGAAAGCTGCCGAAAGGACAAAGCGCGGATATTTGGCGCTGTGTAGGCCATCGTGTTGCTAAGCGAAGGACTGAGGGGAAGGAGAGTAAGGTAGTAATCGATGGGAAAGTTTACGATGCACGCGAGGTGAAAAAAGAGATTGGCCGCAACCAACCAAGCACTCTCTCGAGAATCCAGCAGGGTATGTTGGCATTTATTTTCCTGGTCAACTAATGAAGCCCTGAGCTAATGATCGAAATGTTCTAGGCTCTGCCAGTCCAAGCTCCCCCGAAGGCATGGTTATATCGGTTCGCTCCCCCAGTCCATTTGATCTTCAATCATCTTGGCCATCCAACTTGCCGTGGTTCAAGTTCAAACTTCGACTTACGATTCGTGAGTACCTACTCTTTACCGCATTTACGATGGCGGTTGATATTGATGTTTTGATTCTCAGCTGTTTCACCAACAACGACATTCCTAACGCAATGCACCAATGATCTACTTCGTCTACTTACGCGGCATTCTATCACCGAAGATGGACAAGATATTGTGCAGTACAATGATTGTGATTCTCTTCCAGTAATGTCACGCTTGGCGTCAGGGTTGCACCGCTTCATGCCTGAAGAATGTCCAGATGCATTTCTAACTCGAGCTCGAAGTATTATACATGGATCAGGCAGTCAACGACTAGAACAACTCCTTATGGTTGTCGTTTTTCGGCTATCAAATAATATCGATGTGAACAAGTTCACGAAGATATGGCCCACAGTTCTTAACTTATTTCAGATCTCGGGAATTATGAGCAAGCCTCTGGAACGAAAGGACACTACCGATATCACAGGTATGGCTGTTGCCGAAAAGCTCTATCGTATAGCCTTTTGGGCTGGGTTTCATTCTGGTTTACGGCAACCAGAAGAAGTGAAAGAAGGAACTCGAACACTCATAAAATGGCTACTATCTTCTGGGCACGATCCAAATGCTATGGTTTCCATAGGCACCGATGGTTTAGGCACAGGCCTATATGCTGCAGTCTTATTTCAAGAGGTGGACCTGGCCCTAATGCTACTGCAGAGAGGAGCCAATCCTAACCTCAAAACCAGAATGAACTCTAAGGTGAAGCTGTATACCACCGAGGGGAAGCTGCCTTTGTTGATTGCAGTTGATTCTAACGACTATCCTCAAAGATTCAGCCTTGTCAAAGCGCTGCTTGATAACGGTGCTGATCCGAACCTATACAGTACCGATTCAAAGCCATATCCTCTTTATGCTGCAATTTGTCATTTTGACTTGCCGATAATTGAGCTTCTTATACAATACGAAGCAGAAATCTCTCAATGGACCGCCTACGAATATGAATACGATATACCTCGGCATTGCCCCGAAATTCCTATTTCGGCTTTCACATCTATAAGAAGTGTCATGGGATATGCAGCTGGTATATCTCCCGAGTCCAACGCTTTATCCATTACGTCCTATTTATTGGCACAACTACGGAAGCGAAATAAGACTACTAACGTAACCCGATTTATCCCAGTCGAGAGTTTGCTTATAGCCGCCGCTAGGGGCTACAACTCAGTTCTTGCCTTGATTCTCGAGCAAGGAATTGATGTCGATGCCAGCAATAGTCGTTTCTATACAGCTCTTCACCTTGCTGCATTCTGGGGCCATTTAGACACTTGTGATATGTTGATTAATCAATATGGGGCATCCGTCGAATCGAACTCTTCACGCCAGGGGATAGCTTCCCCTCTGCATCTTGCAGCCTATGGTGACCATTTGGATGTGGTTAAACTTTTGCATCGATCAGGCGCAAGTATTAATCCTAAGATCCAGTGGAACGACAATAGGGTCTCTGACACGACACCATTCAGGGTTAATAACAGATGTTTCCCATCCTCTCATGACTTGTTCCCATCCTCTTATGACTTGTTCCCATTCTCTTATGACATGTTCCCACTCTCTTATAACATGTTCCAACCGACACACATGGATATTATGGATCCCCTGAGACAATTCTGTTCTACCCCTATAATTGCAGCGATGCACAATGCGAAGACAGGATCGACGTATCAATATTTGGCTTCGAAAGGTGCCTTCATACCAGATTGGATGGCACATTACGCGGCCGGTAAACTTAAAGACGTTGAGCTTCTCTCATTTCTCTTGAAGAAAGGCAAATACTTCGATGAGAACGCGACAGCATACGTTACGCTACTTGAGGCCGCTCTTTTCCCAAAAGATATAACGGGTGAAGCAGAGGATGAAGCAACGGATGAAGCGTCAAACTTCTCAAGCCGAGAGATAGCCAGGATCTTGCTAAGTCGGGGTTTTGAAACAAGCGAAAGACACGCCGTCCTAGCACTCATGCGAGGGGATTGGGATCTAGCAGTACGAATTCTTCTTCGGTTCGATTATTATGCAGGCCATCTATACGGATACATCACAAGATCCGGGGAGGCTATGACGTGGACTATGATTCATGCAGCGTGTTTTGGTCGCAACGTCGTTGCAATTCATAGAGTCCTAGATCTAGATCTAGATACATACGACGAAAAGGCACTTTGTCTTGCCGTACTGCTGGCGTGTGAAACCGAAGATGACGAAGCAGTGCGCGTTGTCGAGCGTCTGATCGAGAGGCGTATGCGAAAGGACTTCCGGTGCCATGAGATCGACGAGCAAATTGAAACCTTGGCAGTTGGGATCGCGTCATGGTATGACGAGATAGAACTCCTGAAGTTACTTCTGAGGGTACTCTCGCCGTCACAAATTGTGGAAATCAAGCAACCCATATATTTCCTCAACATTGATTTCAATCCGGCTATTGCGTGCTCCTTTATACCTATTGGCGTTGAAGAAGACACGTATAGGGAGCATTACTTTCCACTTCTAAAATTTGCTACATCACCGGAGGCTAGAACTTTGCTTTTGCGTGACCGTTGGAAAGCAGATATTAAGGTCCTCCATGAGGCAGTGGAATCGGGTGATTCGGCATTTGTGAAAGAGCTTTTATTCATCAATCAAGGTCCTTTCGGCCATGGCCTTCTCTCCAAAGCAGTTGAGGTCGGAAGCATAGACATGGTGGAGATCCTCTTAGAAGCCAACGAGGATATCAACGATAAATCCAATGAGAATAAACCGAGATATGGTAACCCACTCCAAACAGCTATTGGAGAAGGCCATATGGGTATCTGGGATTTACTCTTGAGTAAAAGTCCTGATGTAAATGCCGCTGCTGCACGATATTATAAAGGCACCGCGCTTCAAATAGCGTGCGGCAAAGGATACCTGAGCCTTGCCAAGCAATTAATTTGCCTCGGCGCGAGCATCAACGTGAAGAAGACCAAATACCAAAATCAATCGGCACTCGAATGTGCGGCGGAAAACGGAAGAATAGACATGATCCAGCTTCTCCTATCTTCCGGAGCAATTACCACAGGGGAATGGCGTAAGGATTATATCCGGGCTGTTACGATTGCGCAGGAAAATGGCCATCAGGCTGCTGCTCAAGTCTTGAGACAGCATCGCAAATGGGAGGCAGAAGACAAACGTATTTTCACCGAGATTAAATATCCTCATTCCAGTCGTGTAGTCCACGTATCAGAAATTTGACGACTGGACACCGTACGGACATACTAAGGATACCAGCCTTTTGCGGACGCCAAAACAACCACGGCCGACTGGAATATAACAGGTATCAATGGAAATCTAGCCCGGTCCCTTCAATTACATAGATCTCTCTTTTACGCTCGCATACAATCTCCACGCCTATGGGAACGATCTTTACAAGTTACTGACGGGACACGTGCGCACGGGAAACGGTTGGAGGGCGGATACGATGAGAATGATAATGATGTCCGCTCGTATCCGTTGAAGAAGCGGGAGCGCCCCGCTTTGGATACAGTCGATATTGCCGGAATGTAGATCAGTTTTTGGATAACTCTAGTTGATGATGAGAAACGAGGAAGTCGAGGAGTAGACTTGGATATGCCCTCTACAAGAAGTTAGGTACTTTTCTATTCAACATCTTTCGCCAAGGGGAGATAGATAAATAGACTTATAACTCGGAAAATTATTTCTCTTCTTGACTTAGGGGCGTACTATGTTAAGTTACATAGATGTAGATAAGACCGCTATACCCCCGTCACAAGAATCATGAGCGGGGTTAGCCGAAGATAAGACACGCCTATATCAGTTATTAGTCTGTCATCTCCAGGGTGATTCCGTTCCTTTCTTGTAAATCATGTCAAGATCGAATAAATACTTAGTTACGCAATATGGATATTAGTAGATTGGAAAGTGATCTGGTCCGAAGGCTAGATATCTTCCTGATGGCGTTCGGGTGTATATCTCAAGGTAACTTAGATACCGCAATGAAACACTACAAAGCATATATCTCAGTAAGCTAACATGACTTCCATCATTCTAGTTATCAAATGTAAGTCTACTCAGGTACCTATTTAATTAACAGTGATAAGAGAGTACCGTGTCTGACATTTAGAAAGATCTCGACCAGCAAAACATCAGCAACGCTTATGTTTCAGGGATGAAGGAAGACCTTCAGCTGAACGGCAACGAGCTCAACTAGTAAGTTGATAATAAATTGCATATAGTTGATCCATTCAACTAACATGGCCTAGTTTCACTACATACTTCAGCGTCGCATACTGTATCATGTTAATCCCGTCTCAAATTATCCTGACCTACGTACGACCAAGTTACTGGCTTTCTGGATTGGAGTTATGCTGGGGCGTTATAACGGGACTTATTGCTCTTGTTCGTAACGCGAAACAAGTATATATCCTTCGCGTATTCTTAGGAATCTGCGAGAGTTCAGCTTGGCCGGGAATGATGACACTATTTAGTGAGTTTTAACGATTTTATTCCCCCCCTTCTTTTACCACTTCATCGCTATCGCGGCCCTCAGGACACTTACCTTTGGCACACTTTTAGTGCATTGGTATACGCCTTCGGAACTCGCTAAGAGAATGGGATTCTATCATTCTTGCCAAGCATTAGGCTCTATGATGTCTGGGGCATTACAAGTTGCTATCATTGATACCCTTCACAATGCGAACGGCATAGCGGGATGGCGTTGGCTTTTTATCATCAACGGAATCATGACAGTAGTCGTGGGAGCCTTGGGTTTCTTTTTGTTACCCGATCTACCGAATCGTGTCAACCCGAGGGCATTCTGGTTTAAAAAGGAACACGCAAAACTCGCAATGGAGCGGTTGGAACGCCACGGCAGAGCGGAACCGAAAAAGATGACTTGGGCAGGTGCAAAGTAAGAAACCTTTCTTCAGTACTCGTGGGATATTCTGAGCACCTCTAATCGAATACAGACGTACCTTCGGCAATTGGGTGACTTATTTTATCCCAGTCTTATACATCGCGACGGTGCTAGCGCCCTGGGGATATGCTTACTTGAATCTATTCTTGAAAAGCTTGAAGAATCCTGACGGCACGCCTGTCTGGACTATTTCTCAGGTTAATGCCATTCCAATTGGTGGTGGCGCCATAAACGTCGTCTTTGGTAAATAAAATTCCTTCGCCCCTTCATAACCGGGCTAATCATAAATATAGTGTGGATTTGGGCCATACTATCGGATCTCTTGAGGACGCGATGGACTTTGATCCTACTACAGGGTGAGGGAACTTTCGTACAGCATACCTAGATCACCTGAAGCTAACACTTACACAGCTATTATCGGCCTTGTCCCATGCATTGCTATGAGCGTCTGGACTTCTCATCCTGACACAACCCCATTAGCTACGGCGTATGCTAGTTACTTTATCTCGTATTTAACATTGGGGACTGCACCCCTGATCATGGCTTGGCTTTCTGATCTGTAAGCTATTTCCTAGATACTTTAGGCGTTATGAAGGCGACTAACATACTGGAGATTGCCACAAGATCCTGAGGCTAGATCACTTGTTGTTGGAGTTGCTATCGCGGCGTACTATGCGGTGTCGGCGTGGAGTCAAGTCCTCGTTTGGCCTGCTATCCAGGCCCCCTATTGTAAGCACTTCAAGATAGTGATAGTCAAACAAGAAATGATCCTGACATAAGCTAGATGAATACGGTTGGCAATCTTCTATCGCCCTTTGGATTTTGGTCATCATAATGACCTGCGTCCTTCGGTATATTGACTTTAAGTATCTGCTGTACGTGGTCTCTCATATATCTTAGTTAAGAATGTTTTTACTAACCTTTGTATTAGACCACGGCGAGAAGAGTTCCAGGCAACTTTGATAGTAGGCTCGAAACCACAAAGTCCAGAACCGGCCGACCCTGAGCTGGATGTCGGACATAGCTCCAAATCACCGAAGTCCATTTCAACAGTTGCTGGAAATAACGGTGCAACATGCTTATGAATATCAGAAAGGAAGTATGCAAATAAGTGAAAGCTAGTGTGCATAAGTGGAAGAAGCAAGTTGTTCAAGTTACCATCTACCATTGCCAACCATTATTACAGACAAACCGAAAGGGGCAAGGCATGACACAAGTTGGTTAAACCAAAGATTTAATCTAGTTTGATATTATAGTAGAAACAAAATAAACAAAATAAACTTGGAGTAAGATTGCTTTAGCAAAAATAGAATTCGGGGACATTACCTATGAGATACAAACCGCTGAGTGAAAAGATATTTCTTATTAGCACAATTGCTATTACAGTCAATCTAACCCATGAGTAGTACCCCTTTCTTTCTCCTTTTTTGTGGATCCCAATGTACAACGCTTCTTCAGTTCTCTAGTTGACACTGACTTAATCTCAAGACAAACTCTTTATTAGCAACAGCCTAACATTAATAATTATTACCAGATCAAACGATTATCAGAGCGGGATCATGTTATAATCCAATCCCTACCCACCGGGAGTACGTTGTCCTAAGACCGGACTCATGTAAGTTACATCGGTCAGCTCGGTACACCGGACATTTCCGGAATTCAAAAACACCGAGGTGACTAAGACCGATGGCTAAAACAACAAGGCTTGAAGCATCGTGCATCATTCTGCAAAAATGTATTATCATGTAATTAGTAAAGCTTAGTAACGGGTATAGAATATTAAGTCCATTGTTAAAACCGGTTGTATTCTGTATAGAATGCGTATATAATAACTTCAGATGGCGAGTTTGGAGCATCAAGTAGCATCAACAGATACAATACAAACACAAGAACAAAAAAAACATTCAACTCCAATCTTTCGACAAGCTTAAAAGGCACAATGCGATCTCATGAACACCGTCTTATTGGGGCAGCCAAGAATATCCCCGTCAAGCCTCAGACCCCTATCTTTTCTTTTAGCCCCATTGTTCTGCCTTTGTCCGATCGACCCCTTGACTTGGACTTGAAGGTCACAGCCCCTTCAACTGGAGATGCTCTTCCAATTATTCTTCTTTCACATGGCCAAGGCCTCAGCAACAACCTCAACTCACTAGAGGGGTACACTCCCCTTGCCGAATTCTGGGCTGCGCACGGATTCGTCGTGATCCAGCCTACGCACTTGTCCTCCCTGTCAATCACCGTCGATGCGCCCCCAAAAGGCAACGAGTACTATTGGAAGGACCGCGCTCAGGACCTGATTAGGATTCTTGACAACATTGATACCGTCGAGGCGACTGTCCCCGGACTTAAGGGGCGATTGGACAAGACCAAGGTCGCTGTCGCGGGACATTCTCTAGGCGCGTGCACGGCGAGCTTAGTTTTGGGAGCTAAGAATATCGACCCGCGCGACGGAAAAGCATTCGAGAAGTATGACAAGCGCATCAAGGCCGGCGTGCTACTTGCCGGCGCCGGGAACGGTGGCTCAGACCTTTCGGATAATGGACGCATCATGGTTCCCTTTCACGCACCTGACTTCAGCGTCATGAGAATGCCAGCCCTTATTGTGTGCGGCGACCAAGATGTGAGTCCGTACTTGACAACTCGAGGAGCCGATTGGCACGCAGATTCCTATCGTCTCTCTCCCGGTCCTAAAGATTTGCTCTGGATAAAAGGAGGGAAGCATGGGCTTGGGGGCATAAGTGGCTGGGACGCAGCAGAGACGCAGGACGAGAGTCCCCAACTACTGGCAACAGTTCAGCGGATGACATTGGCGTATCTGAGAAGCGCTCTTTACGGGGATAAGTCTTGGGATGAGGCCCGTGACGCATTGAAACACCTCGGTGAGCTGGGCACCGTCGAGAGTAAGCAATAAGCATTCAGCACAGATTTAGGCGTTCTATTTTGGCTATTGACAAGGCGGTTCTAAGATCCATTCGTCCTGGAGGGTAGAGAAATCAAATTCAACTCCGTTCATCCCTTAGAAATTAAAAATTCATAGATACCTACCCTAGGTACCTCTTAAGCTATCACCTGCTCGCAGCAACGCCTTTCATGGGATTACTGTCAACAAAAACGACGCCGTAACTGCCAACTAGCAATTACGCCTTATATACACTACGCGACAATTACTGAATAATAAAGTTCCTTATAAGTCCTATAGGGATTCAAACACTAGTGTCTTCTAGCTGTCACAGACTCTTGATAGCGGGGATGGCACTGTGCAATTAGATCGCCGTTCGTGATTCATGTAGTCAAACAGACGCATGCTTCTCCATACTAAAAAATGTTGCGAATACCTATGGGCATGAACATGTCCAATATTCAGGGTATTTGATAAAGCTTTTTCAGCGAAAACAAAATTACACATTTTCTTTGACACCCTACCATATATGAAGAGGACGAAGAGGACATAAACATCAATTTACTCTTCAACTAGGCCACCTCGATTTCCCCCATCATTCTGCAAAGCTTCACGCACTCATACCTTTGAAAATACCAGAAATACCAGGTACCCAACCGAACTGAGTTATCTACCAGAAGTCAAAAGTCGGCAGTTATTGCAACTCTCCAGCATGGCAAGACTTATCGATCTTCCCGTCGAATTGCTACAAGAAATTGGAAATGCTCGATTTGGTAATTATCCAGTTCAGCAATATTTTATTGACAAACATGAAGATGACAAGTTGGCTCCTCTCATATTACGCACACGCGACCTACTCAGCTTGACGTTTACCTGTCGGGCATTCTACGAAGTCTTTCACCGTCTTCTGTACATATTTGGCGCGAAGTGCCGACGTCACAACCTTTTTGACAGGGCGGCAGAGGCGGGAAACTTGATTGCCTTGAAACGGGCTGTATCATTCAAACTAGAACCAATCCTTCTCTCTTATGATGAAAACAAGTCTCCCTGGGCAGACCTTCTGGATACCGCTTGTGAGTATGGCCAAAGAGATGTCGCTGAATGGCTATTGGACCGCGGTGTGCCACTCGAGGAGGAGGAATGGTTAGACCGAGACGCCCAAGTAACTTTAAAAGCTTGTGAGCCACTGATGTTAGCAATGAAGAAGCGCTATGATGATGTAGCTATACTCTTGTTATCTAGGGGTGCTAACCCTTTGCCCACGACTGAGAGGGGTACCTCCAGATCATTATTACATTACGCTGCGGGCTGGAATATGATACATCTCGTGGAGTACCTTGTGGGGGAAATGGGCTTATCTATCGACTTGCCGGATTATAAGGAATTCACTCCCCTTCGATATATGATGAGATATACGAAAACCCCTGACACCGACACAGCAATGATAAACAAGCTAATAGAGCTTGGGGCGGATGTCAATACCGAGGTTTATGGAGAGCTTCCACTTACATCGGCAATTACAAGAGGAAAGTACAGACACGCAATAATATTACTCGAGGCCGGATCGAAGGTTAAGCCAAATCGCCCATTTCGGAACGTAAAGGGCCCTCTCCAAGCTTTGATTTGGAGTACGAAAACTATCAATACAGGGAACAAGCGCGCTACAGGATTTATAATAATAATGGATCGTGAGAGAGGGCAGCTTGGACCCTGTACTATTTCCAAATTCGAGGCACAAAAGACTGTGCTCCAGAAACTGGTAGATGCGGGTATTGACATCTTCGAAAAATTCCGTCAAGGACGCACGCCATTAGAAGAAGCATTCCTACATGGGTCTGTATCGTTTGCATCACATCTCTTTTATCTATGTCAAGAGAAGGATAAAGAGTCCGTAGATGCAATCGGTCTCCTAGGATTGGTGGTTCAAAACTACGAACGAAACCACAAGTACTTGAAAGATTTCTCCAAGAAAATTGAATTTTTGCTGGAAAATGGTGCTAGGATAGACATTCCTCTGTCTAATGGCCAGACATACTTCCAATGGCTTATCGACTTCAAGGATTACTACAAACTGAAATGGTTGGGCAAACTCCTAGCTCTGGTAAGCAAGTCTATGGATAAGTCTATGCTTGATCAGAAGCATCTGAACAGCGTTCTCCAAGAAGCCTATAAGGCTATCCACGGGCCAGAGAAAGGGAGGTACTTTTATATAGCAGATGTCCTCGAAATGCTCATCCCCTATGGTGCTGTAATCGAAGACCCCGCCGATATGGACTGCCTTACATTGTGGTCGCTCGAGTGCGATTCTCTCCCTGACTCGCTTATTCCAATGTTCAACTCGCGCATACCAGACGAAAATTTATCAGACTTGCTCATCGAAGCTTTGGAAAGGGGCTCTCCAAAATGGATCGACTATCTACTTGATCGCATAGAACCCAATTTCGATGCTTCACGTCGGAATCCTCAATGGATACGTAAGGCGGTCGAGTATAGCAAAGCTCCAGCAATTACAAGGCTGCTACAGGGAATCTCGGCTTTGGATATAAACCATGTAGCCGAGGACGGAATGACGCCGCTAGTACGCTCGTTCCGTTTATTTGGGACGGATCATTTATGGAAGGTGTTGTTGGAATATGGCGCCGATCCGTTTCTATCAGCAAAGCACCCCATTTGTGCTAATATGAATAGCAGCGATTTCGATCTAGGTATTGATTACCATATTGTTCGAGAAGCGCAAGGCGTCTCGGCTTTCGAGATCATGTTACACTATCATCCCTGGGATATAAAAGAATTCTGGGATGCAAGTACTGCTAAAGATCGACCTGACCCGAGATTATTTGTCTCGTGTTTAGATGGATGGGATAACTTCCGGAAAAAGTCTGAGACGATCGAATGGATGAAGATGACCAGCGTGGGAGAATATTTCTCTAGTTGGGTGGCGTTGTTGGCAGAAATTGACACGGAGGATGGCGGGGAATACACAGAATAAAGGGGGCGGACCAGAAGGCCTTATCAGGCTTGTACAATCTATTATACGGCCTTTCCTCCTAGTAGAGGTTTAATAGCTTACGAAACTAATGAGGTACCTAGGTAGGTACCTACCCAGAATAATTCGAGTAAAATCATGCAAAAGTCCGATTCGACTTTTCAATGCGGGATTGGCGATGGTACATAGGTATCTTACATGAATATTTAATACTATCTCTAGTTCTTCAATTACGACAACTTCATACTATGCCATTCACTATTACAATTCCATAGAGACTTGGGTTATACCCCGTCGGCAGCGATATTCAATTACAAACGTGTTTGCACATTCCTCAATCTTCCTTTGCAGTGGGTTCTAGTTATGAATCAGCATAACTGATTCGTCACGGGACAATTACGGGACGACTACGTGGACCCCTCGGAGGGCCACCTACATGTATACAAGGTTGAAGTTAGACAAGTGACTTTTGACCGTTTGCCTCCTCTTCGTCGTGCGACAGCAGTTAGCTTTAATGAATCTTGACACTCTTGATAGCATAAGGGGCAGTCTATATACTATTAGGTGGTACCTAGCCTACCTACCTAGGTACCTACTCAATGAAACGACCAGTTGGTATTAATTGATTCTATCGTTTACTTGTTTCGCAGTACATAATTTACCTAGGTAGGTAGGTACCTACAGGTACCAAGGCCGGTGGCCTTACTAGAGCCTCAAATTCAAAGTTATTTAATTTAGCTTTCTACAAGCCAAATGTATACGGTTATTTGGGCCGACAGGAATCTTTTTTTTTTTTTTTTTTAAAAAAAAAAGGGTCACGTGATACCCCTTAGGAGATGCAGATACCAAGGGATGAACATATAAGAAGTACCTAGGTAGCTAGACTTTGTAGGATACGTCGCCGCTAGTGGATTCAAGTATCGACCTAGAGTATAGATTTTGATATAGACGTCGTTACCGTCAAACCAAAACCCAGCCTCGTTAGACTGCACTGTGTATGAACCTAAGCTAAATAAACTCTGACCGGCCTATCAATTGATACAGTTTCTTTAAGACGCTTTTAAAAGTTTTCTTTTCGCCACGTACTATCTTAAGCCCCGTTTACAGTGTTCTTTACCCCCTCCTCCCGAAAACACATACGCGTCCGGCCCACGTAGTAACATGGTTACCTGCCTCCTAATTCGTAAGCCTTAGGTACGCAGTTGTGAATTATCTACGTGTTTACGCTCACATCTGTTTGCGATACAAATACCCAGCCTACCTACCTACCTAGGTAACCGATGTCAGAAATCGAAAACTCCTATATGACTCAGGTATCTATTATACCTAAGAGACGTTTGCATTAAACAAGCAAAGCTGGATACCTCCTATCTAACCCATTTCAAGATTAACAATCACACAGTAACAAACTTCACCTGAAAATTACGATATATAGGAGGTAGGCTAGATGTGGTCCCCACATAATATTCACTCGGTCATTCCCCCATTCTCATTCAATAGCTATCAACTTTTTGGAACGGAGTCACGACTTCTTTCATATCCTGCCCATTCTGTTTCAACCCTGCCTAGCTCTAAACATCTATAAGGTATATATATATATATAAATATCCATCTAACCTCCATGAATTTTTACTCATTTCACCAATTCGATAACCCAAAGAAAATTCGATAATCCAAACAACGCAACTCTCGGCTCTCACCATGGCTAAGCTCGGGGATCTTCCAATCGAACTCCTGCAGATGATTGCGGCGGCGGAGGAGGACGATTGGCCTATACTATCAATAAACGATCTAGCGAACCTATCCTTAGTGAGCCGATGGGTACATCTCGCCACCAAGCATGTTCTCTATATCGACGAGGACAAGATAAGGCTCAAAGAAGCCCTTACTTATGCGGTCAGACACGGGAATTTCGACACTCTGAACGCCATAAACTCACTGGGCGTGCATGTTGAACTATCGAACGATCTGCTGGTACTAGCTTGCCAAAAGGGTCAGCACGATATGGCTTTAACCCTTCTAGAGAGAGGCGTGCCTGTAGACGGCAATGAATGGTCCTGGCATGAGAATTTCGAGTTCCCACTTTGGGCGGGAAAGTGGGAGTCCCTGTATCGTGTATCTACAGGGTCTACGGCATTACTCTGTTCAATCTACAGCAACATGGAGGATGTTACTTTGAGTATATTATCCCTCGGTGCGAACACCGGTGCTGACGATCACAAATGGGAGCCCGCAGATGGTCTCTGATATCCTCCATCTGATAGCCGAAAAGGTTGGGAAGAAGGCAGTATGTTTCCCGGACCTTCTCTTGTTTATCGTTGAGAGTATGCCCGGGGTACCGTTTTTCATTGAAAAGGCGGAAATCCTTTTCAAGAACGGCTGCAGGATGGACACGGACTTTGGCGGCGGCCTGACGTTCCTTGACTGGGCAGTCAGGAATAGAAAGAACTACTACCTGAAAAGGGCGCTGAAGGTCGCGACGAAGTTCAACCTCGATCGCAAGTACCTCGATACCTTTCTCGAGGAAATCGTTACCGACGCTGCCTATACCGATTTGTCGGGCAGCGAGGCGGCAGAGTCTGTGAAGATTCTTGTGAGCAACGGCGTCAAAATTAAACCGAAGGTCTTGATCTCCACCGCGTTCCGTCTCGTGCACCAAAAAGCTCCTTGGCCTGGGCAAATGCTCGACGCATTGATCGACATAGGTTTCCCGCGCAAGCTGTTGCCCCAGCTTGTCACGTCCGCGCTGGAGAAAAAGGCAGACCCCGAGATTGTCTTGACGGTTCTCGACCGCATCAAACCTCGTCTTTGGCGCCGTCACCGCAAGTGGTTATTTGCGGCTATCCGAAGAGGATACGACCAGCTCGTCGGCAGGCTCCTGGAGGAGACTTGGAGGGGAGGTATAAACTCTGTGGCTGGTGGACGAACACTTCTCTGTAGAGCCTTGGAGGACGCCAGGAAACACTCCACCTCTCTCACTGTCACTTCGGTGCTTATCAAGCACGATGCCGACCCATTCTTGCCGACAAGGCATTGCGTCTGTCACCGCAAGAAGCATGCGACTTCTGCTTATGAGATGGAACCTCTCTCGGCCTTCGAGTTGGCCGTGCACAAGGGCGCGCTTAAGGCCGCCAAAGCAATGTGGGGAAGCATCGTTCCGGAAGAGCGACCCGATCCAAAGCCCTTCTTGGAATGCCTTCCGAACATAAGTCGGCAATCGGATCGAGATGAAATGAGGAAGTGGTTGGAAGATCCCGTTGTAGAAGAAGATGACTACCTAAGGTACCTACAGTATTTGTCGGACCCCTGGCCCCAAGACGAGTTTTCAAGTTTTAATGAATCTGACGAGCAGATCTAAGGTGCAAGGCGTTATTGGAAAGAACACTCACTATATATTATTTGGACTATTGAATAGATTCTTATATACCCTAATTTTAATTCCTTATAACCTCAATTCAAGAATACTCTAGGTACTCTATCGCAACATGGAGATTTGTCGTCGTGTGAAGCAAACTAGGCAATAATTTAATGTGTAGCATGTTGGTAATTTATATCAACCCTTACCCCTGAGTAAGGGGCCGGGGGGGGGGGCGACGGGTGCCATTCATGAGCCACGTGGCTGACACTCTGTCACGTGGCTCTCCCATGATCGAGTGATGAGTGTTCGTTGTAGAGAAAAAAAACGCCCATCTTTTTGTTTTACATGGACAATGCACACATCATCTGACACTTCCTTATATTAACACAATATCAACAAGCTAGCTTCGAAGAGGTAGGCAATAAACCCCGCTAATATACTCAGTATATTTCATTGCCTAAAAATGCCTAGCCTCCTTAGGGAATAATATAATACTAACCCGACGAATATGGCCACAATTATAGGTCATCTATATGCGAGGGCACAACAAGGTAATTTAGGTACATTTGAATGATACTGGTATGGCCTCCGTCCCTTATTCAGCAAGGACGTTGAATGGAATAAATGGTATCTAGCGTAGAAGCGACAAAAACTCTCTGCTCGATAAGACACTATTATGAAACCTCGACTCTCTTCTCACAAAGTTTATACCCCATCGTAGACCCGTGACACGTAAGCATCGCTCAACTTTCCCCCAACCCATCCAACCCCCGCCAAAAATAGCCTCCGCCACCGCCAAAGTACCTATGATATTCCCCTTGCGCTGGGAGAAGGAGCTGGAGAAAGTAGTCGTCACCCATGATAGTCGTGAGCAGCGTTGATGGACTGTGCTGCCGCTTAAGCAAACTTAACCTCATTGAATAGACTTGCCCGGACCTGAACTAGACTCGCTAACTCTAATAAGAATTGTTGGTATATGATGATATTTGTGAGGATATGTGAGACCGAAGCTGTCTTTACTTCGAGTGGTGTCTCAGGTGGTGTCGGAGCAATCGACTGATTCGCGGCCTCGCTCTCACTGTCGCTATGTTGGTCTTCTGTGTTGTCTGGTTTCCCTTCGTCCTCGCCTCCTTGTTCTCGATCAGCATCCGTTGAGATATCGGTATTCTTCCGCTCGAAGTCTAATGGGATCGGCTCGATCTTCTGTGCCGGTAAGCTTACTTGCCGGGCAAGTATTCCTTGGTCGACAGCTGCGAATGCGGCGGCTTGGTTAACTACGGCGCCGTCTTTACCGGAATGCTGACTTCCGGGCGAGAGTGATCGTGCCACTCCGCTCTTAGACGGATCGTCATAGTTCAGAGGAAATTCTTTAGGTGGAGGCATCGGCTTAGGAGTTGGTGAGACAACTCCGTACCCTCCCGATGTTCCTGATCCCGTGCTCGACCCCCGAATTGTCTCTTTCCGTCCACGGGGGCTTCCTGTCCGGCCTGGACTTCCAAATTCAGACAGTATTCTTTGCGCGAATCCTTCCAGTGCACTGGGTCGCTGCGGTGATGTTGCGCGGGACCCATCCTGACTTGCTTGATCTGGTATAGAGGCTCCCGTGGTAGATGCTGGCAAAAAACCTGGGTTCGGTACAATGGCGTCAGCCGTTTGGAAAGCCTCACGACGTTGCTGTAAAAGTTCCTCGAATCGAGGTACCGAGCTTCGGAAGTAATCAACTTGATCAGCCAGTGTTTCTAGAACAGTGAAAATACGTGGCAAGCTCGACAACTGCCATACCGGCCGACGACGACACTTGGTAATCGCTTGCAACTTCTCGGTCTCGGCAAATAAAGCGGATTCGGGATCCAAGTGGAGAGATATAGATTCATCCGTTTCGCCTTCGTATGAATATCTCCTTGGATGTCGCATAAGCCATCCCTCGACAGATATATATCCGCATACCGCCAAATCGAGTATTGTCTCCGTAGCTGAAAGGTTCATCTCGACAGGATTAATGAAAAATGATTCGAGGATGTCTAAGATACTGTTCCAAAGAGGATCTTCTGCGCTCAACGTATGTGGCGGAACATCTCCGGGCGCACCAGGTAAAGAGTCGGGAATTATTGGCAGCTTAGTGTTGGTTGTGGGAAGGTTCGGAGTGACTAGTTTGAGGGAGCATGGGTGACCTTCTACACGTGCCATGCTATCTTTCAGGATGTTCTCGTATATCTCGTTGAAATTGTCTTGTCCTCCAACAGACCCAGCAAGAGTGGTGAGAAACTCAACCTCTTGTTCATGAGCACCCACCGTCCTGCGAGAGGTATTGGTATCAATGCCTTCTGTGTGAAGAAGAGTCGTCGTCGCGTATCGGTGATGCCGCTTGAGTATCGCCGCCACGAGCTGAAGCGTAACACACACGGTTTGCTGGTTCCGAGACTTCAAACATGAACGAATTAAATCGACTAGATTAAATAGCAGAGGCGTATAGCTAGATTCAACTTTAGTAGCCATCATAGTGGCGAGATCCATAGACTTCCGCTTTCGTGCGGCGCTCACCGACGGCTCAGCGTCGGCCGGGGCGGATGCCTCCGCATCGGGAAGAGCCAGTAGGTAGTGAAGGATGAGGTTGATCATATCAGGATGATCTAAAGCTTCGAGTATACGTCGAAGATAGGTTAAGACGGCTACTGACGAGCCTCCATCCACATCGGAAGATTCCAAAAGGGAAGGGTACCTTTGTACAAATTAGATTTAAGATAATCCAAAGTTGCAGTTGAACGTTTAACTTACAGCAATTGTTGTAGGAAAATGACTTGGAAATGTTCGAGGAGAGTCGACTTGACTTCCCCCGATCGGCAGTGGTTGAGTACATCCTGCCAGAAGAGGAGGTGGGAAAGAAACGTCTCCAGATGCAGCTGAAAATCCGGGCTGCAAGAACTAACAATTTCGAAGGTCGATGTGGGATGTTGATAATCAGACAAAGCAAGGACCGGAGGAAGATTTTCTGGGGGATGGTCGATAACCAGCTTCCGGCTCAGTTGACTATATAACGCTCCAAGCCCGGTGGCCATCAGCGTCGATAGGTCACTCTCCACAATCCATTGTTCCAGAGCAACGGAGGATGAAGCAGCTTCGATTATGTATAATAGACCAGTCCGGGCGAAGTCACCGATTTTCCCTTCATGATGGATATAATCCATCAATAGATAGAAAAGAGGGAAGTCCTGCTTCTGAATTCTGCCGGCGAATTTCTCCCTTTGATCTTTGGCCTTCTCTTCATTTGCATGGCTCTCGGGACGGGATTTGAACCAGGCGGAGAGGATACGAGGTTCAAGACGAATTTTAGTGGTGATATTAAATGCCAACTCGACAACTTTCACTTCAGTATCGGGTCCTAGTCGAATGCTGTTGACGCCAGTGATACGGACCAGAAGGTTAGTCAAGCTCGCGGAAAACGTGTCACTCTCAACGAAAGCTTCCTCCTCACTCTCGATCAGAGTAGCAAAAAATAATACAGCCTCCTTAATAATCCACTCATTATACGACGAAGTAGCTATCTTGGCGATGGGAACGTAGATCTGTTTAGTAGCGGAGAAGGATACACAAGGATGAGGTAACGGTCGTCGGGATTCGTCGGCGAGTATATTGGTGAGCCCCTGGAGGCGGAGTTCGATGTTCTCGGCGGCATCTTCGTCTCGAGCTATATTGGAACAGTTACGCCATATTTGCTGGTGAACGAATTAGTGACCGAGGATCGCCGAGGGGGATAGAGGTTAAGACTCACTAGTAGTTGACCGTATTCCTTCTCGAAACGTTGTCGACGTCGTATAGGATCCCGTGCAGCATCCTTGCTGGAACTGCCCGAAGACAAGCGGGTGTTTGCTATGAGGCGCGACCACTAGAGAGCTGCTATTAGTTATTTTTCGGTCGCAAGAGAAAAAAAAAAAAAGTAGAAATAGTTTCTAGAAGAATAGGAATAATTGGAATCATCCGGATGTGGAGAATGGAGAGAGGTGGACTTACAAAGTCCATAGCGTCTTGAGAGGCATTTCTCTCAATTCTCAAAATATGTCGGGTGTCGAAAGAAGTTGTAACAAGTATTATCAGCTTAGTACCTAAGGTATTGAGGCATTGAATCTTTAGCTTAAAGGCTTAAAGCTGTTCCTAATCTACTTTGGTACATAAGTGGTCGCATAAACGTCCCCTTTGAAATCCGGTGCCCGAGCTGTTTCCTAATGATTAGGCTAGCCGGGGTAGCCCTTGCTACTTGTTACCTAAGCAGCCTAAGGGTTAAACTGTGACCGGTACGGGTGAGGCTTGATCGTGTCCAGCGTGTGTGGCTTCACTTTACTTATCAAACAATACAGATCCGAGGTAGCTAGGCCTAAGGTAAACTCGGTAAGCAGCCCCACCATGACTACCCCAATTTTCATGTGCCTTGGCCCTTAGGTACCATAAGGTACGGGATACAATGCGCATTGTATTCTGCACATTTTCTCTTTTCATCACTTTATCCACTACCTCCCATCATCCATCCCGACTCACTTCAAGTCGACAACCTCCCAATCCCGTACCGGATTCCCTTATCTCCCCCGTCTTAGCAGCAATATAATCCCACTAATAAGAAACCTTTATTATCAGCGGCTAGTCGCATTACGCATATGCATCGTGCCTTAAACCCCAAGATGCTATAGGAGATCCGAGCTCGAAGGAGCTTCTAAAGTAGTAGATTTCAAGCATCTAGAGCTCTCTATCAAGTTGCAGCAAGTGCAGCAAGTGCAGCGAGACATCCCCCGATAGCTTGCGGGGACCACTCGCATGGCAAGCATGCAAGGTTACCTGCATAAGCTCGGGTCTTCATTCAATCTGAAGCTCGTGGTTCGTCTGTTGTTCTACCGGACCAGCCGCAATGGTACCACTGCCATCACCCCTGAAAGAATGATTGGGGCTGAGCAATCCTCTACTAGCGAATCACCATTTTAATCCCTTATGATTCAAGGTCGGTATTCTTTAAACGGCAAGGCATACCCGCTGATAAACACACCAGCTTCGATAGCCTCCATTGGCCTGGAGCAAGTCGGAACGGATGCTGTAGGTTTAGATTCATTATAGTGACACACATTTAACAAAATACGATGGCCTCTTGTCATTTCTTATTCATTTGTTCAACCTTTTTCCGATCGAGTTGTTACTCACTTCCTAGCGTTGTGTTTCGTGCTTCGTATCTTAGCTTCTACCTACGGTGGCTTTCAAGATCTATCAGTTACCTCTCTTCGATCAGCTCTCTTATTGGTCTTTTGGAAATATAGGAATATTTTTTACGTACATATTGTGAAGATACCTAGAGCTGTGGAAGTGAGTCATTATGGGGTTTTTCACTCGATCCAAGAAGAAACCAACTTTGGAGAGCTCACCATCCAGCGGTGATCAGTCCGTACCACCAAATCCGTCTCAAGTTCCCCAACCGCAATGGCATCCAAACGACAGGCAATATGCTACTCCAGCACCAAGACAACCTGCTGGTTATTTAGTCCCTCCACCACCATTACCACCGCCGCCCTGTTGGAGTACTATGTTACCTTCTGGACCAGCCTCTCCCCCTCAGTACCAAAATCAACAGCAGTATCTCCCTATCGTCGTAAACCAACACTACTACTTGAGTCCTTCTGCGCCTCATCAACCAGCAGTAAAACCATACCCTCATAGCAATGGAGCCTGCACCGTTCGCAAACTCAAGCTCAGCTCGACAGCAAATCTAGCAGATCAAGTATTTCCAGGAAACATGGGCCAACAGATACTAAACGACGGCCTCCCAAGATGGCATGCCTATGGTACGCAGGTGCTCAATCAAAGCGCTGCGATGTATGACCAAATATGTAGCAGCTTCAACGACGTGATGACATTGATTGATCGGGATAAGTACATCGGGAATGAGAATGATCTATTTACATATCAATCCCATCCAGTGCCTCCATCCTCAACCGAGGTGCGTCAACAAACCGTCGTACACAAGGGGCCCGCAAAAAAAGCAAAGAAGGGGACTTCAAAGGATGCACCAAAAGGACAAACGAACGCGATAACATCGTCACTCGCTTCTCGGGGCTACTTTGCCAAGGTGGAACTATATGCAAACTCAAAGTTGTCCTCAAACTTGACTCCTCTCCGTTTGTATGTAATGTAGTGCAGTCTTGATATTATACAAGTACTAATATTCAGCAGACATATACCAACATATCCTCTGGTCTGTCTGGCGGCACAGTACTCCGAAAGAGTATATGAAAATCCACGTGGGGCAGAACGAGACGCCCACTTCGACGCCGATTGGAGAACCGGAGCTAAGGCTATGCGGATCAAGTCGGTTCCAATGGATCATATGGAAACTATCGTGTTCGCTATTCGAGGAACAGCTACTTTTATGGACTGGTCCGTCAATCTGAATACCGCACCAACAGCACCTAAAGGATTCCTAGTAAGTAGTCATGGACATAGCAAGCTTAGTTTTCTATATTAATAAGTTCCAGGATGACCCAAACAACTTCTGCCACGCAGGATTCTTATCGGTTGCTCGAAAGATGATCCCTCCAGTAGCTGCGAGGCTCCGTCATCTATTAGAAGAAGACCCACGGCGATGTTCATATTCTCTTCTAATCACCGGCCACTCTGCTGGAGGTGCTGTCGCATCCCTTCTATATGCACATATGCTTTCGACGTCGAAAGCTGCGTCTTCGGAGCTTAACAGCCTCACGGGTTGCTTTAAAAGAGTACATTGTATTACGTTCGGCACGCCCCCAGTCTCGCTATTCCCATTACAAAAACCATCCGGTTCCGAATTTAAAAAGTCTGTATTCCTAACTTTCGTTAACGAAGGTGACCCTGTCGCGAGGGCCGATAAAGCCTACGTGAAAAGCCTTCTTGAACTTTTGGTTGCTCCAGCTCCAGTCGAGGTCAAGGAAACTGGCAAGCATCCTCCGCCGTCAAAGGGCTCATCCTCGAAACATGGCAAGACGCATGGAAACGGGTCTGATACGTCTCTTATTTCGAAGACATCCAAGGCTTCTGCGAAATCCGGCCGTTCTTCGTCACATGCGTCTCCGAAACTAAACAAACCGAAAGCCCCAGGGCCGATATGGAACGTCCCACCAAGTACTCTAAGTAACGCGGGGCAAATTGTTGTTTTGAGGTCAGGAAATCCAAGCGCAAAAGCTAAACGAGTGAAGACGGTCGAAGAACGGCTAAAGGAGGGTGTTGTCGCACAGGTTGCGACTGATGAGCAGCTAAGAGGTCTTATTTGGGGCGATCCTGTCTGCCACGTTATGAAGCTATATATCGGCCGTGTCGAATTACTTGCAGTTGAGGCTGTCACTGCAAGGGGGTATTGAAGGCCTAAAAGGCATGGAAGGGTATGGATTACGTTTGACCAAGAAGTAACTGGGAACTAATGACGTTAACGATGCATTACGATATATTTACTTTGGCGTTGGAAATGATACCATTTTTGGATAGTTACGCGTTTCAGTTATACCAAAACAAGGTCTTGGAGGATTGGATTCTGCGTGGAGTATGCGTTTACCCAATTCCAAGACAAGCAGCTCTGCGAGCATTGTTATTTAAAGTACATGAAAAGGGGTAGGAAGGGTGGGTGTTGTGGGACGGGTAGAGATAAGAGGTAGGCGTGTAAAGAGACGGTGAGGTAAGAAGATGGAAAGATTTTGAAAGACTAGAAAAAGTCACAAGGCAATCACGAGGAGAGGACCAGATATAACGAGCGACTGAAGTTGGATTTACTAAATCACTGAAGGCAGGCTACTAATACAATTGGCACTCTCCCCAACATTATGGTCCCACATATCTCATTCCCCCAAATGCTATGCCAGTGATATAAGTCGTATTGAATCGAGGCTGGCGTTTACAGGAGGCTGCCAAGGGCAACACAAGGAAGACCGACGTTGACAAGGCCATCGCCCTGAAAGGTCAGCACAGAATATACAAGTAGAGGGAGTTAGAGAGCTTACCTGTTCCAGGCCAGAATCCTGGCAGCAAGCGGGGGTCTGCTTGCACTGAGTGTTAAGAAGATCCGCAAGACCAATGACTATGAAGTAGGTTAGTGGCGAACATGAGAAAGGAGGCAGCTCTCACGAGGAACTTACCAGCAGCAACGTTCAGCTTAGAGCAGCCCTCGAACAGGCCAAGCTCTCCAGATTCCAAAGCACCCTCAAGGAGACCGGCAAGGAGACCCTCGGCGGTGTTGATGGCATCGCCGGACTGGTCAACCTTGTCACAGCAGCTAAGGTCGAGGTCAGAGCCACAGGTGTCGCCGGCCTGGCCGACAGTGACATCACCAGGGACGGGAGGGATGCGGTTGGTGGGGCGGCCGCCGAGCTGGGGAGCAGCGAGGGCGCCGAGGGCGAAGGCAAGAGCGGTAACGAGGGTAAACTGCATCTTGACTGATTTGGGATATGCGTCGTCGAGGGTCGATTATTAAAATATGAAAACTAAAAGGAGCGAAAATGCTTAACGAAACAAGCGTTGCTGATGAGAATATGTAAACGAGTGTGAGTGTTGCAAGAGAGTGCAGTTTTTTTTTGTGCTTTTGATACTGGTGATGAGGGAGAAGATTTTGCTTGAGAAGCGGTCGTCAACCGGACTTATATATCGAAAAGCTGGCCGCGTGTTCCACGTATTCCGAACTATTTCTTTTTTTTGCCCTTCAGCGCTATCTAGTGGTCGAGCGTCAATTATTGATGCTCCCCGTCCTGTAGAGGAATGGTCTACAATGACGATCGGCGGGTTTTGGACACTCTTGAGAATGGCTTGTCTCATACTGCCAGCGCTACTGTACGCCACCAAGGGGAATTGTCCGCCCAACATGATCGAGCATTAGACTGCGAATGATCTCCGGCCACGATGAGCCGCAACAATCCTCGACTTGTCAATAGACCGCCATTAAGAGTCAGCCTAGGATATAGTTAGGTAATGGTGGAAATTGACGTGCATTACCGAGGATGCTTACCTTGGCATTCTACCAATATACTACTGCCAAGGCTAGGATGCTGGGCACCTTGAGATTGATTTGAAGCTGATCAATAGCAGGAAAACGGTGAGGTACACATCAGGCCTTGAGTTCGACTCGAGCGTTTTTGTTTCGGTTGTTCACCGTGCTTCTCTGTATGCGAGCCAACGGCTTGCTTCCCCCCTGAGATGGTAAAGTCTTGCCAGTTATTGTTCCACAGCATAACCCTCTTCACAGGGCCGATGGTGAGGGATAACAGTAATCAGTCGCCCTTCAATCTGTTCAGACCCAAGATTCCTATTCTTAAGAATGATTACTCCCCTTGCTACCTTCATACACCTTAGAATTGCTAATTTCATGAATAGGGGGTTCACACTAATTCTGAACTGACTACTCCAATGACTCAAATTCGGGAGTTGCACACCCTGCCTTACCGCTCTACACGTTCGAGAGAATGTATACGTAATTCCAGTGTCTTTCATCCATGCAAAACCTATGCCGGCTCTTCGGCATCGACTTAGTAGGTATGTATTAACTGAACCATTTGCACGCTATCACCTCGTGACAAACGCTCTCTTAGGGGAATCTTTCAACTGCTGAGACCTCGGAAGGGATAAACTCTCATTTTCTACATATAAGGCGAGGTTTAGCTCTATTCCATTTTCCTCATGCATCTCCTTCGAAAACTATTGCAAGTGTCAGTACCAAGATGCTACCCATGTCAATGGTAGATGTTGCGCAGGAAAGATGCAGCACCTGTTACCGCCACCTAGGCGTAACATGTGGCTTATTCGGCATCTAACCGATGATGCAGGCAGTGGATGCATCTTGGCAAACCGCTAAGGGAAGCCTTTGACAGTGTCCATGGATCCCTACCTCTTATTCCAACTACTAACATCATTAAGCTCGTCCGCCATTGCACACTTTGCATATCATGTTATATATCCCCCACACACAGCTCTTATTGGTAGGTATTAAGTTCTAACACGCTCATACCACTCCACATTTGGAGCTTAGCCCATGTCCTACGTTCGTGTAAAACGGAATACTCGACATATTACCTACCTGTATGAAATGAAACATCTTTCAGGGGATTGCAACTTGATACGTGGCATTGGAAGCTCTGTGCAAAAGTAGCACGAACTTTGCACCCTCTCTTAGGCCTCCGAGTTCCATCATGTCATGTCTTAGTCTATTTACGAGAGCTTCGTACGAAGTAAAAAGAGACATTTTGAGGCGAATTGATGACCGCTTGGGTCAACCCTGGCTCTTCGATCGATATTATTCTAAAGCTCGTACGTTCTTCCCGCTCACGAGCACGTATCCAGCAGACCGAGTCTCGGCCGATTAAAATGTGCCGTCAGCAACTATACGCGCGAAGCAGTCCCGTCCGGCCAATGGATTCAAGCCGAATGCGTAGGTCCAAGCGCATATTAATTATACCTAACTCAATCACGGTTCGGAAGTTTCTGTGTCTAAAGGGCAAATTCTGCGGTTGACAGCATCCCTTTCTCCCGCGAGCCGAAAGGTCTATATTAATGCCCAAGTGCTCATCAGGTCTGACCCCGATCCACACAACGTGCTACTTTACTACTGATGCCAATACCGCCTACCAGGTAGCAAGATTGGTATATGTGTTAAATTGTATACGCTCGTAATAGCTCGCTACCAGGTCCCCTCGCGAGCGGCCTCGTCTATCACAGTATATGTACGTTTTGACGCGTTCCGCTTTTTCTGTGACTTGTCGGACGGCATCGGGGACTTGCATGTTCAGTAGCTGCAAGGCACGTAAAATTACCTTGGAAGCATATTCCCCTCATTGTTGATCTCTACGTAGGTACCTATTCGATAAACATGTAAAAATCCCTACAGTGTATCTCTGGTTCAGCAAGCATCATCTCCGCGTCAGTAAGTACAACAGTAGTGACAACAGTAGCTAGACCGCAAGCATGATTTTAAATCCTTACCTAAGGTATTGACAACATATGTGAGCTGACCCTCCAAGCCATAATCTTGTATAAGCCTAGTTGCGCAACGGGTCTTTGCATGTAACTTAGCTCGAAATCTTGTATGAAAATATGCCGGGATTTGATGGAGGTCGTGTTAAACAAGATCCCGTCCCCATCGCCGGTAGCCTATACCATCCATTCGAGAAGCTACCTGTAAATCCAAACGAAATCTCCCAGGTGTAGACAGGCAAACCATGTGCCAATCAAACTTAATCGATCCGTTTGCTAGTACTCCCCGGGACGACATTCCTTGGATAGCTTGGAGGTAGTCAGCCGTTATATCGCGAGCTAGCTGCCGGCTTCTTCCCGGAGCACAACCACGTTGCACACGGAAAACGGGTTCTAATCATAGCCTCCAACACTGAAAGACGGCGAATAACCTGTTCTCGCTATTAGGAAACGTGCGTGTAAGACATATAGCCATGAGGACTGCCCAATAGTCTAATTCGAGCGACATCATCGCCCTGTTATCCGCAGATTGTCTTAAAGTGATAATAATTCTGACGACGTCGTTGAGCTTTGCGCTACTATGGCTGCCAACTGTTTTCGGCCCATTCAATATGGAATCACCGATGATCCCAGCAGAGAACCAAGTTATGAAGCATGTTCCGTCGGGATGTCGCATGGATCTAAGGCTGTTCTGATGTGTACAAACGTAGACGCGCATATCCCCTTGAAAGCGCTCAGCCTTCTATGCTATCATAATACGTCGAACAACATGTGTCTTCGTAGACAAAGTTATGTAATGGGGACTTGGAGTATAGGTACCTACGTAGGTCTATAAAGAGGAGGGATTTCTCGAGATAAATATGTTTTTACGTTCTATCTAGCTAGAATCTTCGCGCTAGATACTCGGGGCTTTCACACTCATTTTGCTCGTCTACTATCTTGAAGATTTCCCATCATGCGCCCTTTCACTCGCTTAGCCTTCTTGGGCCTTGGGTACGCACTTCATGACAAGGACTTTGTGATGAATACTAACGTATGACTAGGGCTTCCTTTATCAACGGTCTCCCTCAGAAGCCTGAGGCGGAAACCGTTACAACCACAGTTACGGTTTGTGGAAGTAATTGTGCTTCTACTGTGACTGTATTTGCTGGTTGTTCCGAGACTTCGACTTTGCCGTGGTCTTCGACAGACACCCTTGGAACTTCGTCTACGGCTCCTTTTGGATCTTCATCTTTCTCTACGTCTTATGCTACTATTTCGACGACTACTGTCGATACGACTTTAACTAGAACGTCAAGCATTACTGCTACTTTTACCCAGTCGGGGAATGTCTCTCATAGCTCTGTTATCCCGACATACTCTTCGGTCTTCTCTAATACTACTATTGCATCTGTTACAAGCTCAACAGCAAATACTGTATCCGAGACGCCAAGTAGCACATGGTAAGGGAAAGGCTTGACATTGATCAACTTCAGCAATTATATAGGAGTACACTTACTAACAGATCATAGCACCGACGAGTCTTCAACTGACCTAGGCCCTTCCGATACAAGCATATCAGCGTCCATTCCTGCAGCCAGCACATCATACTCTGTGACAAATAGTCACAATGTATCTACATCCAAGACAACAGTCATATTGCCAACTGAAACCCACTTGACCAGTTCAGTCGTATTTACTAGTTATTCGTCAGAAGTAAGTACATCGTCAGGAGCATTACTGAATACGACATATCCAGCCAGTTCTGGGCCATCTTCCACGGAATCTACAACTACCTCTACGGTCATCGTCCCACTACCTTGGACCATAACAGAATCCTCCGCCCCCGGAACTTCTAGCACGGCCCCGTATAGCACGACTAGTGCCAGTTATTCTAGCGCAAGTCTGATCTCTTCTGGCATATCATCCTCAGTTGCCAGTTCAAATTACAGCACAGGCTCCTGGACTTGGTCTCACCGCTATACAACCTCTTCCCATCCGTCCCTGAGTACACAGACTGGTAGTCTTCCCGTCACAACACAAACGTCTAGTTCTCCATCTACGACTGGCTCGGTGTTCCCAACATCTTCCACATCGGGATTCATAGGTAACGGAACGACCAGCTCTACATATATCTCATCGTCTGGCACTATTGGGACGGAGACAATATCCTATTATACACCTGGGAATTCGTTCTCGTGGGGATCAACCGTTATAGTGGGCTCTTTGACTAATTCCGAGACTTTTCCTACTATATTCCCAAGTGTCTCTAGTATCTCCTCCAGTCCTGTCACAGGTACCTCGTCAACCGCTGCGGTGACAAACTCTTCCCCGGCTTCATCGGGTTCATTTAGCAGCGCGTCTTATTCGACGTCTAGCGCAAGAAGCAGCTCCAACATCGAGGGTACGACCACGTCTAGCAATGCTCAATTATCAAGTGAGACTACCTTCACCGAGACAGCTCTAAGTCCAAGTTCAAGCGTTGCCGAATCTACTACTTGCATTCAGGAACAAACCTACGGAGGCGGCTACACTTATATTTGCTACACCATCTCTGCAGCATCGCCTACTCCAACTGAGAGCACGGGCGACACTAGCGCAGTCACAGGTTCAATTACTACTCCTGGCTCTTCAGGAAATGTATATCCTTCTAGTTCCTCAGGCGAGTTTTTCAACACGTCAAGCCAGCCAGCGCCTGTACCTCTAAGTTCTATCTCCATTTCCATTTCCACTACCGAAAGCACGGACGCCGCGACAGCCACCGCGTCTTCGGGGGGCAGTCTGGAGACTTTCCCCACCATCTCCTCGGTCCCCGGCTACCCGACGCTCCCCAGCAGCACAACTGATACGGTGCTCGTGACGCCCCTTCCCCCTTCTCCCAGCTCAACGTACTCTACCACCGGCAGCACAGACGCCGCGACCGGGACCGGGACCTCGACCTCGTCTCTCCCGCTGAGCACATGCATATCCGGCGGGTACGGCGGCGGCGAGATCTGCTTCCCGCTCGGGACGATGGAGCCCGGGGTCACGATCGGCAGCGGCGGGACGTCTTCCGCCGACGCGGTGACGGGACCGTCGTCAGTTCCCACGACGCTTGTCACGCAGCCCCAGTCTACTACTTCGACGGCCGTTGGAGCGTACCCGACTCCCTCCACACCTGGAAAATATGAAAGCGACGAGACTGCTATTGACGAGAGTAAGGAAAACGAACAGAATGAGGATGAGGAGGATGAGGAGGATGAGGAGGATGCTTGGACCTGGTGGGGCGGTCGCAAGACCCGCGCTGGAGAGGGCAGAAGCGTCGATCGCTTGCGCCGCGGATGGCGCATGGTCTAAACCTACCTCCTGCCTACCTACCACCTCCTAGCTATGGTAATTTGATTGCTATCCCATAGCTACGTTATCCCTAAGGGGGGAGAAAAGGATAAGGGAGAGCGTAGCGTCGTATAAAAAAAGGGAGAGAGAAAACATCGCATGCATAGGTACTTTACTTCTCGTCGCTCATTTGTTTTTTTCCCTTCTTGGATCATGGTTACAACTTTTTTTTTTTCGCTTCTACATACTCTAGAAAAGGGGAGGGGGAGAGCTGTTATTTACCCACCTAGGTACCTGGTATTTATGATGTGGAGACTTGGGGAACAGAGAGAGAGAAGATGATGGGTTTGTCTTAATCGAGATGCCGGGGGGGAGGGGGAAGGGGGTGGATGATGATATTCGATAAAGCACGAGATCTTGCTCGCGCTTACGATGCCTGTCTGTCTATTGAAAAATACCTACTAAGATACGCTACATAACACACAAGGTTTCTTAATACATGTGCTTGAAAATAACGAGAAGTATACCGATTACTGCTGTGAACTCTCTGACTCGTTAAGCTTTTCCTAATGTATGAGTCGTAAGTTGTAGCGCATCTAGATGATAAGACTATTCCTTTCTTGGATGCCATTTTGGCTTATTACATTTGCAAGAGTAAGATAGCGAGCGCTTCACAGAAAATAGTCGGAGATGATCTTCATTCCTTCACTCGGTTCTTTGAGATGGCGGCCAGTGGTGAAGAAAATGTTGTAGAGACCTCATGTTTTTTTTTCCTTTGCTTTTTTATTTAGGCAGCCGGCCATTGGTGTACTACCTGAATGAGGATGTGCGTGTGAACAAATCATGTACGATCCAAGTGGATGATGGATAATCTCTCCAAGAGAATCAATCTTGTGTAAATCGTAAGTCGTAGCTGTCTCGTAGAAATATAGATATTAGTTGCCTTATTTTTTGTTTCATTTTTTTTCTTTCTCTTTCTTTCTCTTATGGAAACCTATGTCCGAGAGGATTTTTGCACAGGGCTGATTTCGTGTCATGTCAAGTCATGTTGTTGGCGAGGGAGAAAGCCTACCTTTAGGTAAGTACCTAGGTACCTTAGGTATAGGTACGCACCTCCAGCGCAGCGCAGCCCTTCGTTGGTGTCCCCCCGTGTCGCTTGAAACGCCCCTGGCAGATGATCCACATTTACACCGGAACAGGATAAGCTCTTATCCTGTCCTATGCATGTATTGTAAATTGCGGCTGCCTCGGAGCTCTCATTCGTGGCCGCGTGGTACATTCTCTTATCGATTGGCTGCAGCCCTGACGATCCACCTTCTTATTAATTTGTCGTACAGCATCAGACAGATCATATTCACCGGGGCGTACGAAGTACTTGGTGCTTAATTCTCATATCTGAGCACTCGAGTACAAAAAGAGGTGCTCCATGAAATGAAATAAGCGCCTCGGCATCTAATCTAACGTAAGTTGGTACCTGAAGAATTACACCTAACAGGGAATATTTTCATCTTCATTTTTTCCTTTTCCTTTCTTTGTCCTAGGTAACATTTTTTTTTTCCTTATTCGGGACTTGTTGTCCAGTCCACAGAGTTGAGGCAGAGAAGGAGTGCGGAGATGCGAGGGAACAAGGATTTATAATTGGGTGAGCGGGAAGACAGGGATCATTGAGCTCGACATTTGTGTGGAGGAGTATTTTCCCTCGAAATTTGTATGAGAAGCGCTTTGATTGGGCAGAATATGGGTCTGGACCTGGTCTAGTTCAATGTTAGTTCAATGTTCTGTCCCCAGCAATACCCAGCAATACCTACCGACCCCCCGTCTGGATCGATCGTCACTGTCACGGAACAACTCCTCTTGGCGGAGAGCACCTGCAAGTTGCAGCCTGCAACTGCTTCGCCTGTCGCCTGTCGCCTGTGCCTGTATTGTACTTGCGGTAGCGGCAGTAGCGTTAGAAAAGCGAAGAAGGCGTGAAGGCGTGAAGCAAAAGGTGGGAAAGGATGAAAAATTCACGGCAGTGGCAGTAACGCAAACGGGCTAATCATTAATCGCTTGTCCCCATTTCTAATGCGATGCCATGCTTCCATGCTGCTATGCTGCTGCCATGGAAAGTAGGTACGATACCCACTGTCTTTAGTGCGCATTCTCATTGGGCGTTTACCTAAGGTACAATACTGAAGTACAATACAATCCATACAATTCTGTATGCTTGAAGAAGTCATCGTCATCGCATCGGTCCTCACCTGCTCTTTCGTTCGTCTTCGCTCGACTCTCGACCCTTCCAACTTCGGAGTCCTGCACCCTTCTCTTTACTTGTCGTCTCTCTTGCCTACCCCCTTTCACTTTTTATTTTTATTTTTTTTTTTTTGATTTCTTCGTCGTTTCCTTTCCCGTCCCACCTTTTCCTTATTCAATTTTCATCCCATTCCCTTGGTCCTAATTTTATTTTTATTTTTTTCATCTTGCATCGTATCAAGGTGTAGTTTTCGCATCTACCCGAACCGTCGCATTTAGTAGTCATATAAAATCATCTACCATCACCAAACTCGGACCCAACTTCGAATGTATCGCCAGCTATGATTTAGACTAGACTTTCGACCCAATCGGTTCAGATTGCTACAAAACTGACTGACTGTGTCTCCTCTGAACTATCCTTGTTGCAGCCTGCATCCCCCAAAGCAGTCTTCCCATCGATGCGCATATCCTTTGCGACAAAGAACTACCGTAGACAAATACATATCTACCGTAGCCTTTAACCTAAATATTTTGGCCGCCCACGTCACGAGAACAGGATTCACCGTAACTAACAGAAACTGCGGTGGACTCTCTTCAGCTCTCACCGGGAAATATCGCAATATCTTGTTCAGATTCACTTATCTATTTGTAACCGAACTTTCCTCTTCTTTTTTTTTTCCTCCGCTGTCGAACCCCAAGGCGTCAGCCTCTTGTCTTACCCCCCGCCACGTTGCACCCAAATCTACGATGAGTTAGGAACATAAGACAAGTATTAGATCAGGTACCGGTCCAGCGCAGAAGGAAGTGTGTAAGTTAGAAAAAGGAACGAGAGAGTCTGGGTGTTTGTGAATGACGGACCGAGCAATTGAATATCGAAAAACATGGCATCTAACGGGTTCCATGCAACTGTCCTCCACCGCGTAGACGACGATGTCCAAAGCGACGACGGGAGATATGGCAATTCGGGTGGCGTTACTCCTAAATCGCAGCTAGGATCACAGTCGAGACCAAGAATAGGGTCTAGCAATAATAGCAGTACCAGTACGAGGATGACATATTCGGATACGCTGGGACCACGTTTCTCCAATTCCACCAATTCTATCGGCAAAACGAACGCGGATGACCTGAACCTTGACGCCAATACTAATTCTAATTCTATTACCCACGCAGCCGTAGCGCAAGTACCAACCCACGCACACGCACACGCACACGCAAATAACGCCGCTCGCGGCCACGGCCACACCCAAACCCACAATGGGAACACTGGTGCCGATTCAAGCAGCAGTATCAGCAGCAACAAGAGGAATAGCACTTCTCCGACCGCTACGGCGACGAAACCACTAGATTTTCATCAGCCCGCCGCCACAACCACAATAATCATAACCAACAATCATAATCCCACCACCAACACCAATACCACTTCTTCCTCATTCCTCCTTTCTCCATCGCCAAAAAACAACTTGTCCGTCGCATCTATCACGACGCCTGCATCACCTACATCGAGATCGACGACGCGACCGCCACCCATTACAACCACATCCCTCGCGCATCCCTATAGCAACGCGTCGCATCAATTGTCAACTTCTTCGTCGGCACTGCTGGCGTCATCGTCTTCCTTACCTCCTCTGGCTCCTCCGCCGGGAGCCTTAAGTTCAATTATGGCATCATCGTCTGCGATGTCATCTACAAATGGTGCAAGTGCATCGCCGCTACAGCCTCCTAAAACCTCCGGCCACCTCTCGCCGCCCGATTACCATCAACCATCCAGAGAGAAGGTGCCAGGGAGTTTTTACGACCCGCTTACCGATACAACCAGGGAGAGGAGAGTTTCCGATAACTGGTCTAAGCAGGTAAGCTTTAAGTAAATCTTCTAACATTTGCACACTGCAATATCCGAAAACAACTTTGGAGCTTTTTTCTTTTTCTTTCTTTCTTAAGCATCTTACATGAGGGCCCAACGTGTCTAACATATTTCAACGTCACAAAATCGTGAAACAAATGAGATTTTTTTTTTCCTGGGCAACTCAGACTTTATCCTATATTCATTCCAAAGTACCCAAGTTTGCTTAGTGCCAGTGCGAGTATCCCATCATAGTTTCTTCGGTATTCGCCCCGGGACAAGGAACATCGTCAATCAATTTTTTTTTTCCTTTCATTGCAACCAATCCGCCATTAGGAACCATCAACTTTTCCCTCAACTAACTTTGGCCACTTCCAGCGATCTGACCCATATGATTTCCTGCAGTCCAAAACCGAATCCAACCAATATTACAATGGTTACGGCTCGCCTTCGCCTGTGAATGCAAAATATCCACGAAGTCCGCATTCTCACTCGCACCCCAAAAACGACGGTCGTCCGACCAGCCCTTCCAACAAAGCCCTTAATTTAGGATCTCCCCCCTCGCGTCACAACCGCACTGCGCTGGATTCCATCACTTCTACCAATCGCAACACCTCCACACCAGCACCCTCATTGCCATCATTATTAAACCCGGAACCAACTTCATCATCAAATGTACGTGACTAGTGGCACTGCTTGACTTTTATCTAATACTAGTATATCGATAATAATAATAATAATGATTGCTAACTTTTCTTTCCTTAGACTCCCAGCCGTGCAGCTGAGTTGATGTCCTTCTCCAATATCCTTTCTAGTGCCGAGCCTCTTCCGAAACCCCGGGCTCCCATCATGGCAGAACTCAAAGAAAAGCCAGCTCGCAAGAGCAAGGCACGCGAGTCGACCCTAAAGGACTCTGAAGGAAGTTCCAGAAAAGATTCGCGTCGCGCGTCTGCGAACCACGCGAAAGACACCCCTTCAAGAGCTCCTAAAAGGCAGGCTAATGGCCAGGTCAAGCCGAGAACCCTCTCAGCCGACAAGGAAAAAAAGATTCAGAGCTTACTTGATCAGCTCGATGCCGAGATGGAAGATGTCGATCTGTCCGAGCTCGAAGCCGAAGAGGAGTTCTTTCATGGACGCCTAAAGAAACGAAGGTTAGATATTGAGAATATGGAATATGAAGACCACGTTGCTCGAAGAAAGGACTTGGCTTCCTCGCTTTCGATGAAGTTGAATGAACATGCGAACTACGGCAGGCGTCGATACGACTCACTCCATTACGATGATGCCCTACAGGAAGTCCGGGAACGTGAAATTTACGCCGAGAAGGAGCGCAAAAAGGACATGCAGCGTAAGAGGCGCAGAGAAAAGTCCATGCAAGTCACTATCGAGCAGAAGGAGGCGGCGTTGGCGAAAGCCCTTGCTGCCGAAGACGATGCCGAGCGAGCGAAATGGTTACGTGACGCGGAGCGCGCAAACAAAAAGGCCCAGCAAACGAAGCTAATCCTGCAAAAGGGTATAAAGGGCCCGGCGCGAAACTTGGCACCGCTTGAGTTAAATCTTGAAGGTGGCACGATGTCGACTTTCCAAGCGACTGATCTCGAGGCAGGCACCAAGAGCAAGGGCAAGGGCCGTAGTGGCAACCGTCCGAAGAAGTCCAAGGAGCAGAAACAAGCCGAGAAGGATTCAGCCATTGCTGCCCAAGCTGCATTGGACGCGGGTGAAGAGTTGCCAACTAGAGAAGAGACCAAGATCCGCATAAAGTTAAGCAAGTCTTCGTCCAAGGAGCCCAAGGAGAAGGAGAAGGAAGCCAAGGACACCCCGGCTAAGGAATCAAAAGAGAAGGAAAAGTCTGTGGAAGAACCTCCGCTCAATCCTCTCGAGACCAAGTTCCAGTCCAAGGGCTACAATCAGATCTATGACCAGATCTGGCGCGATCTTGCACGCAAGGATGTCCCAAAGACATTCAAGTTGGCAAGCGATTCCTACAGCACGAAGGCGTCAAATCTTAAAAAGACGGCCATCTTGGCTTCGAAAGAGGCTAGACGTTGGCAACTTCGTACCAATAAAGGTACCAAAGACCTCCAAGCTCGTGCTAAGCGTTGTATGCGTGATATGATGAGCTTCTGGAAGCGTAACGAACGCGAAGAGCGCGATCTTCGAAAGGCAGCAGAGCGTCAGGAACTCGAGAATGCTCGCAAGGAGGAAGCCGACCGCGAAGCCGCCCGTCAAAAGAGGAAGCTTAACTTCTTGATCTCTCAGACCGAGTTATACTCACACTTCATCGGCAAGAAGATCAAGACGGACGAAGTCGAGCGTAGTACCGATAACCCGGATATCGCACCGGATGCTGGTGCCGCTGCCAAACCCTCCGACGTTGATGTTGCGGAGCCATCAGGCCCTATCGGCAAGAAGGTTACAGACTTTAAGAACCTAAACTTTGACGCTGAGGACGAAGAGACCCTGAGACAAGCGGCTATGGCGAATGCTCAGAATGCTATTGCGGAAGCCCAGGCGAAGGCCCGAAGCTTCAACAAGCCTGATAATGACATGGACGAAGACGGCGAGATGAATTTCCAGAACCCGACTGGCCTTGGGGATGTGACGGTCGAGCAGCCAAAGTTGTTGAACTGTCAACTCAAGGAGTACCAGCTAAAGGGTTTGAACTGGCTTGCCAACCTCTACGAACAAGGTATCAACGGCATTTTGGCAGACGAAATGGGTCTCGGCAAAACTGTCCAGTCTATTTCCGTCATGGCGTACCTCGCCGAGGTTCACGATATCTGGGGTCCGTATCTCGTAGTTGCGCCTGCCTCTACTTTGCACAACTGGCAGCAGGAGATAGCCAAGTTCGTTCCCGAATTCAAGGTGCTCCCGTACTGGGGTACTGCTGGCGACCGAAAAGTGCTTCGCAAGTTCTGGGATCGAAAGCACAACACGTACCGCAGAGATGCGCCTTTCCATGTCCTGGTCACGTCGTACCAGCTGGTTGTCTCAGACGTTTCATACTTCCAGAAGATGCGCTGGCAATATATGATCCTCGATGAAGCGCAAGCTATCAAGAGCTCACAGAGCTCTCGTTGGAAGTGTTTGCTTGGGTTCCACTGTCGCAACCGATTACTCCTTACCGGTACCCCTATCCAGAACAATATGCAAGAACTTTGGGCACTACTACATTTCATCATGCCTTCCTTGTTCGACTCGCACGATGAATTCAGCGAATGGTTTTCCAAGGATATCGAATCGCACGCTCAGAGCAATACAACGCTAAACGAGGACCAGCTTAGGCGGCTGCATTTGATCCTCAAGCCATTTATGTTGCGCCGAGTCAAGAAGCACGTGCAAAAGGAACTTGGCGACAAGATTGAGCTCGACGTTTTCTGTGAGCTTACTTATCGACAGCGTGCTTATTATAGGAACCTGCGAAACCAAATTAGTATCATGGATCTGATAGAGAAGGCAACGCTCGGAGACGATCAAGATTCAGGCACGTTGATGAATCTTGTCATGCAGTTCAGAAAAGTTTGTAACCATCCTGACTTGTTCGAGCGTGCCGATACGACAAGCCCGTTCTTCACTGGTTACTTCGCCGAAACCGCTTCGTTTGTTCGTGAAGGCAATAACGTTTCAGTCGGCTATTCGACTCGCAACCTCATTGACTACCAGCTACCGCGCCTTGTATGGACTGAAGGTGGCCGGTTGTATAAAGCCGGGAAAGATAACGAGAAGGCTGGCTTCAGGAACAGATACCTAAACCATCTCATGAATATCTGGACGCCAGAAAACATACGTGAAAGCACATCTGGTAATGACGGGTTCTCATTCCTTCGATTTGCCGACGCCAGCCCGGCAGAAGTTTATAAAGCCAGCCACCAAGATGTATTTTCGCGAGCTGCCGATCTTATCCGGAAGAACAATCGACTTGGTCGCATGAATGTCATCTACGATGAGCCTGGTGAGGAGAACTATACTCCTGCCCACGCCCTATTCCAAATCACGGCGCGTTCGGATCGTAAACCTCTGGCGGAGATCACGAGCGGAGGTGTGCTAGACAGTCTTATGAATGTCTCTCGCACAACATGGCGAGATTTGGGTCTCGGTCGACTTGAGCAAGCAGCCTTGCCCGGTGCTTCCGCTCCGCCTATCCAAGTTTCATGCGAAGGTGCCCGAGCTCCCGTCGCTGAGCGCGAGGATACGCTATTTAATATGAGGATGCGGAAGATCCTCTATGGGCCTAACCAGCCGGAAGAAAAGGCGCTTGTTTTGCAGAATGTCCCAGTCGAACAATACCCGCCACCCGCGATGTTTCCTCAACCCGATAGTGAAAAGCGGAAGTTTACGAATATCACCGTCCCCAGCATGCATCGTTTCGTGACCGACAGTGGAAAGCTTGCCAAGTTAGACCAGTTATTGTTCAAGCTAAAGGAGGAAGGCCACCGCGTGCTACTATACTTCCAAATGACGAGGATGATTGACCTCATGGAAGAGTACCTTACCTACCGTAACTATAAATATTGCCGTCTAGACGGCTCCACTAAGTTGGAGGATCGTCGCGATACTGTTCACGATTTCCAGACGCGTCCCGAAATCTTCGTCTTCTTGTTGTCGACCCGTGCTGGTGGTCTTGGTATCAATCTTACATCTGCTGACACAGTTATCTTCTACGATAGCGATTGGAATCCTACAATTGACTCGCAAGCTATGGATCGCGCACATCGTCTTGGGCAGACCAAACAAGTCACTGTTTACCGTCTCATCACGCGCGGGACTATTGAAGAACGCATCCGGAAGCGCGCGATGCAGAAAGAAGAAGTGCAACGAGTTGTCATCCAGGGTGGCGGTGCTCGGGGCGTCGATTTCAGCGGACGTCGTCCAGCTGAGAATCGCAACCGCGATATTGCTATGTGGCTTGCCGACGACGAGCAGGCTCAACTTATCGAGCAACGCGAGAAGGAGCTTCTCGAAAGCGGCGAGCTGGAGAAAGCACCGAAGAAACGGGGCGGCAACAAACGAAAGCGGGAAGCGGTTAGTTTGGATGAAATGTATCATGAAGGTAAGTCAAGCCTACTACACTATACCACCCGAGTCGGTGTAAGTAAATGCCTATGCTAACTTTATTCTCGCAGGCGAGGGTCATTTCGATGACGGTAATAAACCCTCTGGTACCGCTACCCCCGTCGAGGCCGGAGATTCAAAGGCCGCAAAGAAGCGGAAAGGGGGTAGCAAGAAGGCCAAGACAACCAAGCAGCGACTTGCCATTGCCGACGGCGAGATCGATATTTAATCCTTTATCTCGATTCATGGATTGACCTATGAGACCGAGAGCAATGCTTCCCGAGACAGAAGGTAGGGCCTAGGGCCTTGTACAAAATGAGAGGAGTGATACGGCGTTACGTGGATATCAATTTTACACGTAGGGTAGGCTCTTGGCGGGGACGAATACATACACAGATTCATAGAGCTTTAGCTAATCGTCATTTTCGCAAGGAGAAAAAAAGGGGGGGAGGTGGCCTAAAAATCGACGTTACTAGGAGGCTAGACTTTGCACTCCCCAAACATATTATCATTTCCTTTTCTTTTTCTCATGGACAAAAAAGGCCCATCGATGTATCGTTGTAGGATTATGATTAGAAGGGCGGCCCTCATGGAATCTACCATTACGCATGCCCACTTGGTGAAGTGATGAGCTGAAATGGCAATAATAAATGCGGTACTTGAATGCTTGCTTGTGCGATGCCTGATGCCTGAGTGAAACGTTTAAGAAATAATTTACTCTATGCCTAGATGCTTATCGAAATCCCAATGTTTTAACTATAAGCATGTTGTCCATTTTTACTCATCATATTGTTTAGTATGATGAATTTTATTTCCAAAATAAAAAAAAATAAAAAAAGAAAAAGAAATGACCACCCTGGGGCTCGAACCCAGAATCTCCTGATAACTAATCAAGCGTGTTTGAATTCGCGCTCGGTCGTAGTCAGACGCCTTACCATTGGGCCAAGCGGCCTTTAGTGTTGATTGGCAATTAGTTTGCTACTAGCTATCATATATGTATCTAGGTATGTGTGTGTGTGTATTTTTGTGTGTACGCAAGTTTAGTTGGAAGCGAGGGGGGGGGAGGGGAAAAACGAAATGGAATGGTGTGAAAATAGCGCGTTTCTTTTTTTTTTGCGTTAACTAAGTTTTTTTTTTTTTTTTTTAACTGTGGTGGTGGTTACGTAAAGCAGTGGGTATTAGTTACGGAGTACCTACTGAGTTTTGCTGGGAGGAGGGAGTCCACTCTTGAGAAAACGGTTACGAATGGTACGGTACATAGAATAGCGTTTTTTTTAAAATAAAATAAAATAAAATAAAATAAAATAAAATAAAATAAAATAAAATAAAATAAAATAAAATAAAATAAAATAAAATAAAATAAAATAAAA